AAAGAATTAGCCTCTGCCGGGGTGTGGTGGAGGAGGGTCCTGTTTTGAGTAGGAGGGTAGGCTAGCTTGGACTATCTCATCTAGGAAGAGGTACCAGGTTTTGGAAAAGACTAAGGTTTTTTTTGGTCCTTTCAAAAACAGCAATGAAACTCTGATCCCATAACATAGTTTTAAAAAGCAGGACATAGCACCATTTGTACTTATATAGTGCCTAGCGTATTGTATGTAGTGAAGAACTCTTTCTTTGGTTGGGTGGTTGATTGACAGATTCAGCATGGTCCGATACATACTTGTACAATGAGTGACTGAATGAATGAATGAATTCCTTTACTCCAGGCTTAACACCCCCCCTTTTCCCAGGTGGTGTCACTAGGACCTGTTGTTTTCGACATCCCCTGATGGTTCTAGTGGCTCTGTCCTGGACAACCTTTGGTTTGTAATGTCCCACTTATAATGCAACTCTCGGAGCTAAGATTATACCCCATCTTTAATCGACTGGCTCACCAGGCCCAGGCCTTACGATGAGCATCAGTTAAAACTGAAAACAAGAATCCTGCTGTTCCGCAAGGCCAGGCATCAGCGACGCCATGGCTTAGGTTTCCTTCGAACACATCCAAATGGGGCTGTTAAGAAACCAGGGGTAAAGTTTGCAGTTTTCGCATGTGTTGTGTTTTTGTTGCTTTATAACCCCTTTGGCCAAAGTAGATGTTGTGTTCAGTCCCGGGTATGGCCTCCGGACTCTGAGCCCGTGCCAGGCACCAGACTAGCGATCTGTGAGCTAGGAAACGAGCCAGCTAATTTGAAACACATTACATCAGACATTTCCCGAGGTGGAGAGGAAGGCCTCCTTGCTAGAAAGCAGGGAGGATTTTGGCTCTTAGAGATTGGATTCAGTAACTTTAACTCCTTGGCTAAGGTCCAGCCCTCCAGCAAGCGGCTATCATATGGTCCACAAAAAACTCAGAGCCCAAGCCTCCCGCCCCCACGTTCCATACTGACACCGCAGCCTGCTTTGAGAGGCGCAGACCTTTTGAGGGGTGGAGACAGCTTTTAGAAAAAGAGGGGTATTATAAAATCTGATTTAAAATTTTGTAAAAGATTAAATAGGTGTTAAAGGAGATTTAAAAAATCTTACTAACACTTTTAATTTTAAACTTAGGGGAGTTGGGGCAATGTTGACTTTGTAGTGGGAAACTGTGAACCCTGAATTAGGATGTTATCCAAAAAAAATGCTGTCATCTATCACTTTCTTTCCTTTTCAAGTTAAGTAAAATTATATACTCTGCAGTGATCAATATATTGGTGTTAACTATGAAATTTATAAATCAGGCCCTGATGGTAGTTTTTCAGTTAGCTTCAGAAATTGGCTTTACACCGTGTAGACTATTATGAACTGCATGTTCTAATGCCTCTGTGTTCAGTAAAAAACACTATTAAGATGACTTCAAAACTAACAAAAATACAGGGACCCTTGCAGCCTCCCCTCTGAATGTTTAAAATTAAGTCCTGGGGAGGGAATTAAGCTGGAGAGAGTGGCCTTAGGGTCCACGAGAGAAGATACAAAGCACCTTTGGGGGGAATTATCATATCTGATGCCCCTTGTATCATTAAAATATGGAGCTGTTGTCAGGGTTGTCAAAAGTTTATTGACTGAGACTCAGGAGAGATAATTCCAAAGTCATCCGTCAAGATCAAAATCCAAGTCTTCTGACGAATTGATGCCTCTCCACCAAAAGCTCACAAATCGAGGGGCACCTCGTACCAGTGCAGAACAGTGACAGTGACTGAGGAATGAGACCCTGAAGGGGTGGCCTGGTGAAGTGCTCTGGTGCGACCCTTCCTGCAGTCTCAACTCGGAGTCTTCAGTCTAAAGTCTGGATACTTCATCCTCTCTTTTGGGAAAATCGATCCGGTACTATTTGATCCCTACCGTGAAGGGGTGCTCAAGACAAACATGAAATATTTACGAAGTGCTTTAAGTTTCAGGGGAAGTAACATTCCCGTCTACGGAAATTGGAAATGTATTCCAGCACACCCATGCATCTTGTCGGCTCACCCACGGTGGCACGCTTCCCTTTTGACCCGTCCTTCTGTGAAAATCTAAGAATGTCACACATACATTTGCCACCTTCCTTGAGCGATGTGTGCACCTGAGAATGGAGTGATACATTATTAACATGTTCAAGAAGGGCAATAAAGGGTGGGAGTGAGAAGAGAAGGTGGCAGCAGCGAGGCTAGAAGGGGAGGAAGGGAGGCGAGTGGGACTGACAAGCCCGAGGAGCCCAAGCTGTTCGCTGGCAGGCCGTGGCACCCCCCGCCTTCCCCGCACGCCCGCCAGGCGAGCCTTGGCCTCGCTGGCCCGGACCTGCAGAGAACTGCGCCAGCGTCTGCTGCGGCCAGGTCTTCTCAGTGACAAGAGACAGTGGGGTGCGGAGCTGTTCACTTGGCATCCTTCACCATTACTAAGGTCACTGATAAAATATTAATCTGATCCTGCGTACATGGCTTCATGAAGATGATCAGGAACGGAGGGCAGCCAGGGGCGCAGAGCGATGATCTGAAACGGAGAGAGAGGGGCAAGGCCACCCGGAGCCCACATGTGAAGGCTCACGACAGCCACGCTGCCACGGTGGGGTAGCCAGCTTGCGTTTACTCTCTGCTGAAAATGTCTTCCTCTGTAGACCCACACTGTCACCCCTTAGTTCTCAGGAACGGACACAGAGTAACAGGTTTCACGATGCCATCGATGCCCGTTTTGACAGCGTTCATGTCAAATACACAATCATGTACTGTAATTATACAAAATCTAAAGAATGAGATAAGTGTTACTAGTTACAGTGGTTAAAATAAAACTGACAACCAAGAAAGGAAAGGAAACCCAAAAACAAAAGGAAATCTCTGTCAAAATTCATAGTGACACTTGACAATATACAAAAAAAAAAAAAAAAAGGAGCCAAGTAATTGCCAAGTAATTGTCCTAGCATGCTGCGGTTCATTGCCGTAACTTCATAAATTCCCAGCTGTTTGGGGGAAAGAAAGTGCGTCTTCACATCCTGTATAATTCTCACAGAAATAGCTTTCCGTGTATGTAGATCAACAGAGAAAGGGATGCAAAGTCTAGGCACCAGGCTGGCTCAGACAGCAACAGAGTTGGAAGAGCCGGACTTCCGACTCTTCTGAGCCAGATCTGGTCTGTAGGGAAGGAGCTGGGACTGTGACATTGGTCTCAGAGGGCCAAGGAAGAAACACTTAACTGTTAATATGGAAGAAAACCATGAAGAACTGGAACTATTAAGACTTAAATAACTTTTTCTACTCTACTTTGAAGCTGAAGTACAGCTTTTCGTATTTGGAAAAGAAAGGCGGCTGATCACTGGGTAGAACCCCTCTCCCTTCTCCCTTTTACCCGCCTGCTCCTGACCCGGTAGTTCAACACTGGAGTGCAGGTATCACTGGTTCAATTTTCTTGAAGTAGAATTACCATTTCTTTGTATGTGGCCACGCCTCTTTTTAACAATGAGGTATAATTTTAGATTAGCAATGCCTATTCCTTCTTGGGCTGTGTGTTTGATCAATCATGTGGGCAGAAAACAATTCCACTTTCTGATAAAAATCACACAATACAAAAATTATTGCACTTAAAAACAACAACAACAAAAAACTCAGCCCAACCAGCCAAGGGCCAATGGAACTCTTCAGAAGAGGCTGTGCTCCCTGCCCTTTGCAGAGTGTCTGGACCTGTTGGTGTGTTCAGTTGAATTGAGTCCATTATTAAATGTCCAGATGTGAAAGAGTTCAAAAGACACTGTAGGTCTCTTTAAGGCTGTCTTCCTGGTGTTTCTACGAGATAAATTATCTCCTTGGCCACATATTACAAAGCAGGGGCTCCTTTTAGTGAAATGGCTAGCAGCACCCTGCTCCCAAACTCTGGAAGCAAGGGAGGGTGGGTGCACACTGTGTCTTGTCCTGTGAATGAGAGAGAAAAACGGTAAGCAGCCTGAGAGGGCAAAGCTGCATATCCACATCCCTGTAGCTGCAAGCACAGCAACTTCCTGTGACTCCACCACTAGCTCTCATTACATTCACCACCACCCCCCCCAGCCCAGGTGGACATAGCTTATCTGTGCATCTTTCTCTGCATAATTCCTATGTCAGTGGATCTGAATGTCTTTACCTGAAAACTTTTCTCTCTTTCCTTACTCTTTATCCTTCCTGCCTCTTTGTGCTCCCTGTCTCATTTTCTTGATGGATGGATGGATGGGTGGATGGATGGATGGGTGGATGGATAGGCATGATGCTAGTCCTGCCACGCACTGGTCCATATGCTGCCTCTTCCATGTTTCTCCCACATGCACACCTGTCCTCTCCCCACCCTGTCAATGGTCCTGCCGCCGCAGTACATTCAGACACATTCCACACTCTGCTTACTGAGTTGAATAGGCAGATCACTTGTTACTTCAGCCAAGATTACATACACCTGTAAAATCTGATCTCCTAGTCAAAATTTGAGCACATGACATTGAATATGTTACTAATGTATTCACGAAGTTCTCAAGGAAGTGCTTTTAATGGATGAGATCAAAGCATTTATAGACTGCTGTCCTGAACTACTGCCAATATTTTCTTCTTTGGGGTGTTTACTCCAGCTCGAGTCTTCCTTGTAATCCCTTTTGACCCTTCATAATCAATAAAATATTTGCACAAAATGTCTAGATAAATAGGTAGGTGATAATATCCTGATGTTACAGGCACAGATCCAGAATGAGAATAATTTAAGGTTCATGGTGGAAGGCATGGAGGTCAAATCATTGTGAAGCCTCTTCACGTAGTGCCCACCAACCTAGGAGCACTGAAGCTGTAAGATCTGTGGCAGTGTTTGTCTCTCTCTCTGTGCCCACCGCCCTGTGACCTCCCCTGTGGGTCAGAGTCAGCGGCCTTTTGTTGTGTCCCATCATGTCCTCTCCCATGAGGGACCCTTCCCTACTTACTGCTCTGGGTTCTGAACTAGGACTTGCTAACATTCTCATAGATGACGTCACTGATGCAGAACTGCTGCTTCTTCTTCATCCATATCAGTTGCACACATTGATGGATAAAAATGTACTGCTCCTGGAGCAAAAGACAAAGACATATTTCAGAGCAAGGTATTTTTGTACAAATTTATGCAAAGATAATATTTTAATGCTCTGACAGCATTAAATATGATCTGATGTCAAAGGAACCAATTTTCATTATTTAGGAGACAATTTTATAAGTAGAAAATCGAAGAGAATCAACTGTAGATATATTTTGAATAATAATAGAGCTTAGAATATTACTTAACGTAAAAGGCAATGAATATTCAATCTATAAACCATGGGCTATTTCAAAAAAAAAATAGTATATCACTTCATAATATACCAAAATAAATTCTAGGAAGTTTAATAAATTAAGCCATAAAAATATAAAAGAAATATAAGTTAATTCCTCTCTAATTGTTCTGCAAAAGGACTTTCTAAACATCAAAGCAATGGAATAAATTACAAATAAAAATTTTAACCTACTGTATATATTTTTAAAAATGAAAAGAGTAAAAGGCAAACTAGAAACTGGGAGGGAAAATATTTTATAGATTTACGACAGTGGTTATACCTTTATTTTTGTTTAATATTCATCCAAAACAATAACACGGATAAATTGACAAATATATAAATAAAATACATTGACCACCATACTAAACATTCCTGGAAGGCATGGACTATGTCTTTTTTTTTTAAGCTAGAAGATAACTGTTTTGTTTTTTTTTTAAAGATTTTACATATTTATTTTTAGAGGGAGGGGGAAGAGAGGGAAAGAAACATCGTATGATTGCCTCTCACATGTCCCCCTACTGGGGGACCTGGCCTGCAACCCAGGCATGTGCCCTGATTGGGAACTGAACCAGTGAATATTTGGTTTACAGGCCGGCAATCAATCCACTGAGCCACACCAGCCAAGGCTCTTTTTTTTTTATTATTCCTAATGCCTATTAAGTGTTTTTCAAGGAAACTGAAGAAATATTAAAACATATGCAAAAATGGCCAAGTAATAAAAAGTGTAAATTAAAACAATTGTTTTCACCTATATAGTGAGCAAAGCCAACGAAAAAGTAACAATGGTGACCTGAGTTTGTTGAAACAGTCATTTTTAGCTATTGGTGGAATGCTAACAAAATAGCATTGAGCACAGATCAGAGTAAAAAAGTAGAAAAGAATCCAATTTAATAGCCTATGAAAAAGAGAATGGTTTAAGTAGTCAATGGTAATCTATACTGAGCCATTATTCAGTCTTTCAAATGAAATTTATATAACTTTGGGCAATTTGGGATAATACACTTAGCAAAATGTTAAGTGAAAAATTAGAATTTAAAATTAGCATATGGACACATAGCATATGAACATAATTATGTGAAAATTATATTTGAAGGAAGGCTGGGATGAAATATGTGGAAATATTGAGAGTAGTCTTTTCCTTTTTATTTCCCAGACTTTCTCAATAAGTAATACCATTAGAAATAACCTGTAAATAGGAACCAGTCAAGAGATCCATAGGATCTTAAGGAAAATTTTTGTATGACAACTTTATACTAAGGATAAGGTTAATATTTGAACTTCACTGGGTTGCTTCCTCAAACTCACCTGTATTTTTCAGCAAGATATGGAGAAAATATATGCCATTATTTTGTGATAGCAACACATCAATAACTAAGCTACACCCTCTCCTTACCATTCGTCCCTCCATTGTTTCCCGGGCTGTGTCGGTACAGGGCATAGATAAGGCCAGACATCACCTGGTTTCTCAACCCAGAGCTAGTCGGTGGCCAAACTTTGTCTCAAAAAAACAGCCCCACAAACAAACAAACAAACAAACAAACAAACTGCAGCCAGATTACAGTAAAAGTAAATAAAGACTATTTATGGACAGGGCCCTGGGAGTTCCTGAGAAACCTAAGATGCCAATCAGGAGGATGGGCTACTCAAAGCAAAGCCCTAACTGACATCCAGGGAAAGCCTATTAGAGGAAAGTCAAACAAAACAATTGATAGAAATAGCAGAGAGCCTCCAGAGAGGCGAATGTCATCCACACGCAGTACTTTAGCTTCAAAGCACTTTGCTAGATGTTGCGGTTTCACATAATGTGGACTTCACAGCAATTCGTGAACGCTGTCATTCACAGTTTACAGGTGAAGAATGGAGCTTCGAGAGGCAAAGTGAGTTGTGCAGTGGTCATGCTGGGACCCAGGCCTTCTCATGGGGTCTGGCCAGATCACCCCATTTTCTTTACCCTTCACTGCTCTTATAGAAAGGCCTGTAACAGGGTCAGGGGGAGGCACTAGTGAGGTGAGAAAGGGGAAGAGGGCACATTAAACATAGCCCATGCCCTAGGCTGCAATAACCAGAGATAGGCTTCTGAGGACACAACAAATGTAATCAGTTACTTCCACTATTTATTTATTTTTATTTATTTTTATGGGAGAGGGCAGCATCTCCCTCCAAGCCAGAGTGGGGCTATGCACCTTCTGCGTTTGCCAGAGGACTAAAAGTACTCAACTATTTCTGCTGTTTTTAGAAGGGAGTTGGGTGGTGGAATCCACGTGATGGGAAGTCAAGAGGAGACAGGAAAATTAGAAACCCACATGGGAAGAAACCTGGTACACAATACAGGAGGTGGACATATTGTACATAAACAGAGTCAGAAATCACCTGGAGAATCATTCTGGCCTCTTGAAAATCATTAGTGCGAAAGGGGTACCCTAGGGTGAGAAAGCTGAAGAAAATAATGTTTTAATCTGTTCTGCTCTTATGAACGTCAGGGAAGGAGAGGGCAGCAGGACCGAGCTGTGAATGGGTTCAAGGAGGACGTTAGGAACATCCTAACCTTCAAAATACAGGTTGAATCACAAAGAGCATAACAAGGAGGAAGAACAAAGGTGAATGGACAAGATGTTCCAGACATAAATAAATAACTCGAACTAGAGAAGATCCACTGCAAAATCCCAAGGGAAGTCAAGAATGACGCTGGAACAGTTGGGAAAAATAAGTAACCCGTGGTGACCTTAGCTCTCTTGCTGACTTTGAATTTTCCCACGAGTGTTCAGGGGAGGGATATCGTACTTAAACAAGGCCGTTTCCCTAGAGATGTCAACCTAAAATGCTGCCAAACACCCGAAGGAGCCAAACAACCAAAGTCTGGGGCAAGAAAGTTGGGAGGAAGACAACATTTTCTCAGCTTTGCAGAAAGGCACATGGTGGCTGCTCCAATTCTGTGCGATTCCCACACCAGAGGCCTGAGCAGGACGGAGGGTCTGCCCTGCGAAGGTGCTATTTAAAAAGGGATTAAGGTTCCGTACTGGGAGAGTCAAAAGCAAACAGGCTATAATCAAAGTCTATAAAGTTATACAAGGTATAAATTAAGTTAATGTGGCAGACAATTTATCAAATCCAAAATACTTAAAATAAGGAGCGGCCCTTTGAAGCATGGAGATTAATATACATAATGGGGAGTTTTAATCACACATTACGATATAAATTTATGGAAGCGAAAGCAAAAGTACGGACTGGTTCATAAAGCACTGTTTAATCATTAGGTGGTGGGCTTCTTGGGGAAACCAGGGCATTTTAAATGAGGTGATGTTCCTGGCCCCACGGCAGTAAATTACAAGGCAGCCGACTGGGAGGTGAGGGGACGGGAGAAGTGAGGACACAAATCCATGACTGACTTCCTAAGCATCCGTGAGACCATCTGAATGTGAATGGGCTACTTTTCCAAAGTGGCATGATCCCGCTTTGGCTCAGAAATAAACGCACTGGAACGGCTCTGCCAAGCCTTGCTCGCATGGGAGTGGGAGTGGCAGTGGGAGTGGGGAGGCCGAGGGGGAAAAGTCAGAAGGGTGGGAAAGGAGAAACCGGGAAGCCTGCACACAGCAGCCATTGCCGCAGGCTTTTGAGTTATACTGACATCTAGTGCTACTTCGTGTGAAAAGCACGACGAAGACCGAGGCAGGACTTGATCCCGCAGAATTTAAGGGAGAGGCACCTGGCCAGGATGTGTTCTACTCTGTTCCGCCCAAATGCCTTTAAAACAGGGATTATTGTATCCCTGAGGCTGAGAAGGGGCGGGTATGGCCGGGTGACTAGGTTTACGAATATGGTGACTAGGATTACGCTATCGTGCGTGGGCGCTGAGGCCCACACCGTGCACACCCACTGTGACTCGGAGGGGCGTGTGCTGCCTGCGGGCGCCCTCCGTCTGAGCGCTTTCGGTGGCTTCGAGGGAGCAGCGGGCTTGGGAGAAGAGGAGGAGGAGGGATGGATGTTTCTTGAGGAGCTGCCATGTTGTTACAATGCTAAATCCATTCATTTCGAGGGAATTGGAAGTACTAGCAGGTTGGAGGCTGGAAATCCTGAAAATCATGACGGGGACAGAAAGCTTAAATCCAACTCATGATCATGAGCTGAAGTGAACTGAAAGACAGCCACATGGCGGACAAACAAATGACAAACTTTTGAATCAAATCTAACATTTCCAATATAAATTAGATCACATCAGTTCCACAGTCTCCTCCTGGTGGCATTTACTCAAACTGGCTGTCCTGAACTCTCGCTCGGTTCAAAGAGGTTTTATTCTACCACAGGTATAGGCATGTGCTCTGCATTACTATGGGCATATGGCACCAACGAAAGTTCGAGCACCAAATGGGTTTTCAGAAGCTGACGTCTATTTCTTTGATGCCTTGAAGCAGTTTGAATGTGAGCAATAAGAAACTGGGGAGAGCAGATGCAAAAAAAAGAAATAATAATAATTCAAGACGATTGCTTTGAAACAGGAGATGGAAGCTTTTTCAGTCAAGGGCAAATTTGAAGATACCATTTAAAAATATATATTGTTAGACTTAATAAATTTTTAAATGGATATATAGTATTTTAATAAACATGAGCAATGATATGTTCCAGAACTAATGAAAGCAAAAAAAAAGTGGGTAAAAAAATAATAAAGATACATATTGATTACATTCCTACCTCTGTCTGAACCATGGACATCCGGTATGACCTCATTTCTGACACCAGCCCTAAGATGTCAACAAACTCATGCTCCCGAATGTGCTGCAAGAGCCTGTCCAGGGCGATGAACGTCCCTGTCCGGCCGACGCCAGCGCTGCAAGAGTGTTCAGACAGCAGTTACTTAGACAGTGCTTCCAAACTGCTGGAAACAAATTGGCAATTTTAAAAACAAAACCAAATAGGTAGCACTGAGAAAAAAGAAGGCTAAACTCCAGGCAGTATTATCCACTTAACTGATCTTTTAACTATGCAGGTGTGGCTGGTGTGTCTTCTAATAGCCCATTTCCAACTATCCTGGCTACTTCTCTTAAAGAGGTATGGGTCTGCTATACCTCTCTCCCCTTCGCCTGAGGCTTTCTGCTTCCTGAGAAAAGTAGTAATTGCATATGGGCCCGCTAAGGAGTTGGCTCCTGCCGTCAAGGAGCTAGACACAGAAATGATCCCAGGCTTCTGAGCAGCCTCAGAGCTAAGCCCTCTCACCCAGCTCAGAAGTATAAGTGAAATGGCCCTACCTTAGCTCCAGCCCTGGGGCCATATCAATTTGTGTGCCTTCAACCCTGGGTTGAATTCACCATTCCACACCTTCCTTACAGTACATCTAACCTTCCAGTGAGTTCTAGGCCTCTTTCAATTGCCCAGCAATCTTTTAGGTAGTTGTCATGAAATCAAATTTAACATTCGGATCCCGTCAGTGACAGTCCCTGAATGACAGTCCCTAGTGCTCAGAGAGAGTACTAGGACGTGAAGTGATTTGTGTCAATCAATTGCCACTCCCAGTACTACATGTTAAAGTCAGCTCTTCTTTTCTTCAGTCTGAGTGATTGCAAACTTTGAATTATGATGAAATGTGAGAAAAGAGGAAGTCAAAACTAATTTCTATGAAGAATTCACTGGAAGGGAAATCCAACAGTAAAAACCTTCAGAGCCCTCATTTGCTTTTTGTACTAGACAACCCTTCCCACCTAGAACGTATCTTCTCAGGTAGAATGGTTTCCCCTGGGTGAACACCTCTAAAGTCACATCCAGAGCTGAACCTGCTACCTGCTGTGAAAGGAACTGTGAGCTTGACCACATGGTTGAGCAACTTTATTTTCAGCTCTTGGAAGGACCCACTGTGAGACTGGATAATTTCATCAGGTAAAGCAAAGCTTTTCATCTGTGAATGCCTCAGGTGGACCGACAGCAAGGATACCCTCCCTGATCAGAAACTTGATTGCGTACAAAGCATTTTTTCTTCTTTCCAGGAAGATGCATATTCTCTCTCTCTCTCTCTCTCCTTTCTCTCTTTCTCTCTCTCTCTCTCTCTCTCACACATGCACACGCACACGCACACACACACGCGCACCCCACACACACTGATCCAATCATTCTAGTCCACAGAGGCCAAGGTGCTAGCTAGATCCAGGACTGTAGCTGTTTGCTGAGGTTGATAAGGCTACCGGCACCTCCTCGATCATCTTTATCACACTTCTATCCCTGATATACAATGGGAGCATATTTTATCCCCCGCTCTTCGAGGATTGCATAAAAATTTTACCACAGTATGTCACACCGATGGCTTTTGATGGATCTTTGTTCACTTGATAGGAAAGAAGGCTTAAATTCAAAGATAATTGTTCCCATAAGGAGTTTGTATGATCCTCGATTTTTTGATAATGCAATAGGTCATAATATTCCCTTTCATTTTAACTGTCTGGAAATTTAAAGGCAACATTGAAAAAGCAAGTGTAGTAACTATGTTTATCTCAATGAGCTGTCTCATGTCTCCTTTCCCTCACCTGGTTTTTATGTGTGTTTATTTTGAAGATGGCAGGGTGGGGGGAGGCTGTGGTTAGCTATTTTTAATTTGACCTTGTATTAATTCATGTAATAAACCACTTAGCACCCTTGCTTGGATAGGGTAAAATCACACAATGCTTACAGGCACGGCTGTGGAGATTGGTGTGCCTGGATTTGAACCCTAACTCATTTATGTTAGAGTTGCAAGAACTAAGGGGAATAAATCTATCTTAGAGACCATTGGATATAAAATAGCCATACTATCAGAAAAGAATATATCTACTAGGACCTCAGTTAATCATAATTTTTTAAAAAATTATAAATCATTTTATTGTTAATTCGATGCGATCAGGAGTTTATGGACTGGTGGGCTCTTTGTAAAGCAAAGCCCGTGGTGCTTAAGAGAAAATGCATTTGATGAAGTTACCTGCAGTGCACGATCATGGGGCCTTTGCTCTTTGCTGCTTGCTGTCGGACCACATGGACAAACTGCAGGATACTTTCTGCAGCATTTGCAGTGGGCACTCCGTGATCAGGCCACGCAGTGTAGTTAAAATGCATCACATCCTGCATCTCGTCAGCCTTTATGGGAGAAAGCCAAAGCAAGCATTAACCTCTCAGTCCAGGGTCAGAACGGCCTGCGCCTCCACTGCAGCTCACACGCTAAAGGCATAAGAAGGTAGGGCCACCTTCCACCCCTGGTCGGTATACTTCCCTTTCCAGCTCTGAGCACTGTGTCTGGCACAAAGCAGGACCTGAAAAAAAAATACTAACTGTATAACGCTTCCAATAGTAGGATAAGTAGGCTAAGCCTTGCCTGCGTAGAGATAAGAACTTAAGCAGATTAGGGTTTACATCCCAGTTTTTGTTATTTAGTAATTGCATCAGCTTTGGCCAATGAATTAACTCGGTGGAAAGTGCTGTGGGTCCCGCTGCGGGTCCCCCTTCCCGGCTGCTGTCAGCAGCACACAACTGCACCCTTCTCATGGTCATCCCCACTGAGGGGAGCCGCCGTGCTGGAAAATGCCTAAGAGGTTGTGTTCTGCTCGGGACATTCCATGGCTAACCGGTAACTGTTAACGGGGTACAAAAAGCCAGCCCCATTGTGACAGGCTGAGACAACTTAACTCTACAGGGCCATTCATGCCCCAGCACTCTCCCTGGGACCCGGCCGACATTGGACTTGGCTTCTTCCTTGTCCTGCCCTACCCTGCTTTCCTTGTTCCTTCACGGAATTTCCCCAAGATTACACTTGCAAAAAAAAAAAAAAAAAAATCACCCATTTAACAATCCCTGCCTTGGGCTCTGATACTAGGGAGCTCGACCCAAGGCAAACTCAACACCAATTTTCTCATCTCTAAAAAAGGGTCTTGCCAAATGTCGCAGGGTAACATAACCTACAACAAGGGCTGCTGTGGAGATGAAGTGCACTCACACGTGTGAAGGACAGTACCAGCTCGCTATTCTCATCCTTACCACTACTACATCATGACTGCCACTCACTGCATCCAGCTCGGGGCAAATATATGGTTGGTTCTGGGAATCCCGGCAAGTGGGAATGTTTGGTATATTTATCCTACTCATATGCACCCATCCATCAATCACACAGGAGTGGGCAAAAGTAGGTTTAATGTGCCATTGTGTCATTCTCTTGAGTTAATAAAGGTATCGTAATAATCATAACCTGTGTGTCTTTTTCCACACAAACAACTGTAAACCTACTTTTGCCAGCCCATGTATGGCTCCCTTGGAACTGAATAAATATCAATGAGGGTGTGGATCCCTCAATGTTTATTCTTTTTAGTCCCTGCTAATTTATAAACATAAAGGTTTATTCTGCTGTTGCTATCAATATTCCAGACCCAGGCCTCACAGAGATCTGATTCATCTCCCCTCCCTCAAACTTGGTAAGAGACGAGAATCCACTCCGTGGATGAAATACTATATGATAATTTAGAAGAGCTGGGCTTGGCTGTGAGTTTTCAGTTAACGTTTAGGTTCAGGTATAAAAGAGAAATGAATTCTAAAGAGTCAGTGGTCTTGGATGGAGTAAAATTTGTATAAATATAAATAAATGTATAAATGAAATATATAACCAAATATATAATAAGATTCATATAAATACATATGTCAGCATTTCAGTGAGACCCACTGTCCCCCCAGCACCTAAGGTCTTATGTCCCCAGCAATACTCAGTGCCTCCTTCACTGTAGGCTCTTTCTTAGACCAACAGAGTCTGAAGTCTGTAAAGATGCTGACTACCAAGTATGGCTAGAAAATAGCCCAAGCATAATAAATTGTGTCGAAGGACTCAGTTATTCAGCAAGCTCCATGAGGATTTAAGGGTACTCAATCACTAGATATTTTTTGGTTGCCCAGAAAAGTTCATAACAATGCTTATTCTTTTCAAATGCTGATGGCAGCCTTAGCACAAAGATTTGAACTATGTAGGTTATATGTATAAATATTACAGTTCATCTGAAAATGTATCCAGCTAAAATGTTCAAGATGCTTCAAAACTAGGAAGTACTTAAATCAGTCTCTGTAGCTGCAAGACAGAGGACTGTCTTAGTATCAGGGTGATCCCTGTCAGCTGAATAGCAAGGAACAAAGGAATTATTGCTGCTTTTTTTTTTTTTTTTTTTTTTGTCTCCATTTCTTACTCAGTTCATGCCAAGTTTCAAGTGGTGGAAAGCAACAAATTTTGTTATGGTCATTTTCCTCCTGCTGGTTACATCTTATTTAGACTTCACAAAATTTCTCTTACCCTGATGTCTTCAGTTACGTAATTTTACCTTGTTGTAGTCTAAGTTTCCACATATCAATATAGAGGGAGTAAAGAAGGGTATAAACAAACAATGAAACAAATAGAAACACATATTCAACAGCACAGCACAATGTTCTTTAGCAATTTAACCTTCATCTAGGGAGCTTAACATTTAGACTATGTCTATTTATGGCCAAAAGGGGGCACTCTGGCACCTAATGCTTATAACTACTGTATAAACACCTTACCAGATTCAATAAAATGATTCAACATTTTATTTCTATGTTTCGAGCCCCTCATGTGCTTGTCATTGACAGGTCATCATTTAAGACCAAGGACAAGAAGCATACTATTCACCCTGCAATGATCTACATGATTCTTCCCTGTCAAAAGAACATACCCTATTTTGTGCTCTGAAATTTTTTTCTCCAAGATGCAAATCTAGGGAAAGATCTGTTCTATATTTGTCTGTTTCCAATGACTTCCCTACTGGAATCACTAAGAGTTCAAATTACATTCAGATTGTCAAATACTTTCTGATGGAAATCTATTGATGCTTTCCAAGTACTTTATTAATTTTGAAATCATTCATTTATTCACCACTTTATTCATTCCACAAATATTTGTTAAGTGGCTAAGGGTTGGGATTTCAAGGATTATTAAAATGGGGTGCTTGTTTCCAAAGCTCACAATGAAGGAGGCAGACATGAAGCCAGAGAATTGTAATGATCTATGGTGTACTGTGATGGAGGAATATCCACGAGACTAGAACAGAAGAGGAAAAGAATGAAGGTCTCTTGAGACTAGGAAAGATTAACAAAGGAGATGATAGGGAAGTTGAAACTGAGTAGGAATGTACTTAGGGAACAGAAGAAGATGAGCATTTCAAAGAAGTGGAACGGCATGATGAATAGTCTGTTAGAGTCATGTAGGGATTTGCCTAAATTCTCAATGCAGCCAAAACCATTGTTAATTGCTAATGGTTAAGAAGTGATTTATTGCTTGTAAATATCAATAAATGGGTAGTTAATGAATGCTTATGTTGTATTGATAATGGACAATCCCTGGTCCCATTGTCTATATTAAGGTTGAGCAAATATTTTCTGTGCAGCGCAGATAATAAATATTTTAGGTTTTGCAGGTCCTGCAGTCTCTGCTGCAACTGCTCCATCGTGACACAGCACAAAGGCACTCACAGACAATCTGTAAACACACGTATAACTGCATTGCAATAATACGTTGTCTATGGACACTGAGATTTGAATGATATAATTCCATGCAGTATTTCATATGAAATACCATTCTTATTTTGATTTTTTTCAAACATTTAAAAACATAAAACTCATCCTTAGCTCATGGGCTTTGCAGACAGTGGTTAGTTTGGCTCCAGGCCGTTAGGAAGGGCTGTTTCTAAGCAGCAACTTTTTAATGAGGACTTTCCTATTCAAGTTTGTTCTCAGCCATGAGTATGTGTAAGTGCAGGATACTCGTAAAAGTCCCCTCCTATTTCCTGGGCTGCTCTAGGTGAGGACTACAACAGGGCAACTGTGGGTGACATCAGCAGCTAGCCTGGCACGCAAGCATTCTGCCTATGCTCCAAGCTTGTCCTCAGAGAGGTAGCAGACCTGACAGGAGAAATAGACTCTTTGGACATCCTAACAATCAGAAATCATTAGCATTTCAAAGGAGATATGAAACCATGATTGATAATGCCTTGAAGTACCTTTGAAATAATAATGAACAAAAACCAGGGCAAAATGAGGGAAAAAGTCAAACAAAATCCAAACTATTGAATCATGGTTTAAATGTTTAATTTAAAATTTAAGTGTGCTTTTCGCTGGCTGGGTTGATCATTTGATTAGAACGTTGTCTGTCACACCATAAAGTTGTAGGTTCAATCCCTGATCAGGGCACATACCCAGTTTGTAGGTTTGATCCCCAGTTGGGGCTGTGCAGTCAGAGGCAGCTGACTGATATTTCTCTCTCTCTCTCTCTCTTTCTCTCTTCCTCTCTCTCTAAAATCAATAAACATACCCTCATTGAGGATTAAAAAAAATTTGTGTGTGCCTCGTATATCCTAATTGTACTCAGATATGGTTACTATAAGAAATGAGAACATGGCCCTCCTCAGCAAGGCCTGGTGAGCAATGACTCCCCGTGCCTTCTATCACCCTGGGATAACCTGAGACGGAACAGGGCAGCCTTCCTTCCTGTCTCCTCAGGCCCTCCAGACCAGCCATTCCATCCACACTGTTCTCAATAAAATGGGAAACAAATACATTAAAAGTGGGCTTTTCCTCTGGGAGGAAGCAGTGTTGCACAGCCTGGAGAGCTCGTGATCCTGTATGAGGACGGGTTGGCCTTCTAACAGCTGGGGGGTTCCCTCAGCGCACGGACAGCACCTGAACTTGAGCTTGGTGACTTACATAGCTGATCCGGAAGTGCCTACAGGCCCAGTCATCCTGCTCTTCCTCCGAGATCATCTCCACCGTGATGTCTCCGTAAGCTATGGGTTCTTCCGAGAATGGCCAGTAATGGTCACATTTCACCTGAGGTGGACATAGCACAACATTTTGAAACAGGCCCACTGGGGAAGAGATGAAGTCTGTGTTCACATAGGAAAAACAAAAGTACTTGTGTCTGAAGCTCTGTAAATGATTACTGTGAGGTGAAATGGGGAGCGAGAACAGTTTCTGGTGCATGGTAAGCACTCAATTCACGACGCTGGCTGCCAAGTGCGGCAACCCCACTGGACACTTACCCTCCTTTTCTCGTTACACTGAGTGAGCATGACAATAATCTGAGACTTCTGTTGTAGGACCATCTTCCAAAAGTCATTTCTGGTTTCAGGCAATGGTCCCTGTGTGGCAATATACTCCTGAGATGAGTTGTATCCCTAAAAGAGAAGTGACAAAGTTGTCACCCAAGGAACCACTGCTTACATCAAATGTTGCTCTGCACCAATGAGAAAAACTGAAAATGTACTGGGAATAAACCTGACAAAGGATCACACCCCCCGTCACATGTTCCCCTGTTTTCATGGAAGAGGCCACCAGAGTAGCTGACTGTGTAGGCCAGTGTGATGAAGCACGGTTCATGGGAAGCCTATAACATCACACTCCCACTTTTTTTAATGATAACAACTACTATCTTTATACATATTTTTGAAACACATGTGTTCAGGTGGAGCCTTTCGACCTTGGTTGCCAAAAATATTTAAACACAAGAAAGATGATCTTTAACATAATGATCTACTTTCATTTTCACTAGCACTTTACAAAGATATGAGCATAACTGATCTCTGGGCTTCTGTTTTTCCTGTTGTTTATTCTCAAATGGAATAAATGGGGAATGTTCTTTAGCAGGACAACAGCTATCTTTTTTAATTGTTTGACATATTCCTGTATCCCTTATGGTTTTCCTCTGCCTGGGCTGGAATATGGATGCTTGATTTTTTAAATTGTTTTATAATTATTATTATTATTATTACTACTTACAGGAATATAGTTGGCATTGATGTAGTCTGCTCCTTCCTCTTCATTCATGGATATTAATCTCACTCGGCTGAAGTCATCTATGAAGAAGAAGAAGGAAGAAAATACTAAAAATCACAGTGGAAGGAAACATTGTCTAGAATGGCCCTCGCTTTCCAATATCAAGTCAAAATAGTGATAGAATAGATAGATAAAAGTTCATTTTAATTTGATATTTCAGCCATACCTCAATCTTAGTTTCCTGTTTAAACACATACATAAATATCTCTCGATCACTATTTTCTCCCACCAGCTCTCCTATTTTTGGAAGAATTAGCTGTGTGTTTTGGGGGAGACTGTGCAGAATATTTAGAGAATCTAAAATGTTGGTAGGTTGTATGGAAGGCTATAGCATGTAGTCTAACTACATGATACCTTTTCACATAGGGACATATGAGAATTCACTACCTTTGGGAAACATGGAAGAGAAAATGAAGTTGCATGGGTCCTTTGTGAATGGACTTCACATGAGAAAATTAAATTCTGAAATGTGTACAGATGTAAGGTGTCATAATGATAATACTACCTATTATTATCAAGAAAATTTATTACGGAAAAGTCTCTTTCTAGAGCTTTTCCCCCTCCCTCTTTCTGCTTTTCCATTTTTTTCCTCAACTCCCCCTAGAGTATAGCAGAGAAGAAAGTTAAATCTATATTGGGATATATTTTCATTGTCTTATTAGTGCTTTATATTACTTTTTCTTTGAATGTTGTTTTTATTTAAAAATGCTAGGCAACATCAGAAGTTGCCAGAAGTTAGAAAGAGGAGGCATTTTAACACATTGAACTCCATTTCCATTTGCCTCCTTCCATTGTCAATGAATTAACTGAAAACTTATTCCTAATTTGGCTATGACATTTTAGTTACCAAAGAGCTAAATGGTCAGTTTTTCCTGTTCAGATGCAGTTCAGTTAAAATCATAATAATTACATCTTCCTAAATACGATAGGATCTGAAGACATCAGAGCACAAATTTGATCAGAGGTGGCCTTGTGGATCCAGACCACGACTGGGCTTGGCCAGAGATAGGCGAAACTGATTAATTTGCAGTAATCATCCTTCAACCTTTGAAAGACATACGTAGGATCAGCACTATTGACAATCTTACATGGTAGGATGTTTGTGTAACGATTTTTACATCGGTTCAGTGGAAGGTCTGCAGCAAAGTGTGGAATATCCAGCCCAATCAATTTCAACTCCTGTAAGTGACAGAGAATAGATTTGAGATTTCTATACATGGCGTAGATTGGATTATTGTTCACGTTGGACCATTCTTCACTTACTCCCAGCCTCTAATAGAATCATCACATCCCCTTTGCCATAGGATGTTGCAGTAGCTCCCTCTTGGGATAGAGCGTACTTCTCTACCCCACTCTTGTCTACTTGCTTTGGCCAATGAACTTGGGTAGAACTCATGTCTAATAAGAAGCTTTAAATGTACTTGTTTAGTTTGGTTTGGCCTCTTGTGTTTCTGCTGTCTGCCGCGAAAAGAACATGAGCAGGGAAGCTGTTAGTCCCTAAATGAGGGGACACATGAAACAGCCCTGACCTGACCCGTGGTCTGAAGCAGAGCTGTCTCTGCTGTCCTACAGGCCTGCCAGTGAGAAAAATAAATGTAGCTATAGGTTACTGAGATTTTGGTGTTACTTATATAGCATTATTGTAGTAGTAGCCGACTAACATAATACATACATACCTTGGGTAGCCTAGTGATCATTTGGAGAAGGCAAGTGTTATATACATAACACTCAGGGTGAGAAAAATTTGAAAACAAGTTTGAAAAGAAATCTGTTTCAGATTTTTGGAGGTTTAGGGTAACTGAAATTTATGCAATAGCATAAATGTTTCCTATTCTATGAGAAAATGTTGGTATATCTCTTTCAGGCAATGAGCCACAGAGAAAATAGTAAAAGAGTGAAAAGCAATGTAGGAGTATCCTCCATGTAACAAGATGTAGGATTGACAGTCACTAAACATATGGTAAAGAAACCTCAGAAATAAGGATGACTCTGTAGTGGGTAAGCAAACATTCTGTGAAAATAAGAACATCCAAATATATGCCTGTGTATATCAGTACTTCTATAAATCTTATTTTCAGAAGGTGCATTAACAGAGGAATTTTTCTATAAACTGGTAACCATCACATCCCCCAAAAAGTTATGCTACTGGAAAAGTTAAGCTGCTTCGTCATGTGTCTGAGAGCAAATGGCATGGAGTCAGGCCGCCTGACCTCCCCGGGGGCAGCAGTTCATGCTGTGGTCTCTGTGATCCACGCTCCCTGCAATTGTACAGGGTGCAACCAGTGCAGCAGATCTAGTTATATTGCTCAACAAATTTGAGGAAAATTTAAGTAAGCATCTAAAATGAGATTATTTATATACAATAGTAATGCACTTTTCCATAAGACTCTCGAGGCAGTAGAGAAACCATTTGTACATTTTATTTACTTGCATAGGATGTTAATATTACAAACAAGTTTTATTCTTCATAATTCCCACCAACTGTACTCCAATCAATCATAAGCTGGAGGAACACTTCTCAAGGGGATAAGTTTTTGCATCTTTGAAAGACTTTTAATGGAAGTTGGAGACATTTGACAATGTTTTGAGAAATTGAACTGTGGTATCTCTTTCATGCTCCTTGTGTCTTGATTCCAGTGCTTGCTGAAAAGCATATGCTTCAGAAATCTAGTTCTTGAAACTTGATTTTGGTGGCAGCTTTCACCAAAAAAGCTCCTGGGTAGCTTAGTGTGTGTGTTTAATGGCATTGGGGTACAAGCCTGCGGGTGGCAGGGATGATTCAACCGAAACTGTCCGGAGTTCTCTGTTCCTTTACTTCCATATCACTTTGAGTTTTTAGCTCACAAAATCTCAAGCTTTTCGGCCTAAATTAAAGCTGAAAACTATACTAACTTTGTAACGGAAAACTATGCTAACTTTGATCCCCAATTCAGAAAATTAGGTTTTCCATCTTAAGCAAAACCCTTGCTTGCCAAATGCCTTTAAACACAAGCTTGTAACTGTTATTTTATTACTGGTTTTCCACTTTAAAGTGTTTGCAAAAACTGACTATCTTGTTCTTGTAAGAAATGAAACTTAGTTTTAGCAACTTCAGCTAAATCAATGTTAGGTTATTTCCTTTTGGCAACTATCAGCTTATTTAAACAGTGTTTCTATGGTTTAAAATATTTTGGAAATCTACCTCCTTTAGAGAGTACCTTTATTGATAGCTTGTCAAAACATCTGGCTTATTTTGGTGTACTGCTTATAAACTGTAGAGCCTTGGAAATGTAGTTCAACTCTGGTTAACATCAGGTTAATGACTTGCAAGATAAGGCTAATAATTTCTCCACAGCTTACTGGTGTACAGTGACTACCAAATGGAATGATTAAACTCAACAAATATCAATGCAGCGCTATGGATAATGGTTGTGAAATGTGTTTGTTTCGCTTTGCCTGGCTCTCCATAATTTTCTCTCCTTTGCCATTTGTACCAACAGACCAACAACTCTCCCCACAGGTCCCCTGCTTTGAAGACAGACTGATAAGCCACAGGAAAGAGCCTCAGATATGAAGGAAATGGTGGAAACAGATTGCGGCAGAGGGCTGGAGCACATATGGAAGCTGACTAGCTGATAGAACTTTAATTGTGTTGCCTCCCTGCTGTAAATGCCCTAAGTTGATAAGAGAGGTTTAATTGGCTGAACACTGTAAATGTAAATTGCCAAAGCTGAATTGCAGCAAAGTGGGAACTGCATGTATACACAAAATGCTTTGCAATCTTTTGTAATTTAGCCTGTCACTAAGTGGAAAATTGAACATGAAGTTTCCAGCTCAGTAGCTTTGCAGTTATTTTCTTTCTAACCATATGGAATCTCCAGAGGCTTAAATCTTTAGAAAGTCAAAGTATGAGGGGAGGGCCTGAAACCAACATAAATCATTTTTGAATTTTCTCTTGCCAGTTTTGTTTCGTTTCTGATATAATTTGTCATTGTGGGGTTTTTTTCCAGACCCCATAGTTATCCACATGAATGGTGGTCTCCAGAAAGAGGATGTCTACATCTTAACCGCCAGAACTCGTGACTGTGGCCTTACTTGGAAAAAGCATTTTTGTAGATGTAATTAAGGATTATGAAATGAGACCATTTTTTATTATCCAGGTGGGTCCTAAATCTAATGACAAGTGTTTTTTATAGAATGGTGGGGAGAAGAAGGCCACATGCAGGTGGAGGCACAGATGTGCGCTGGCAGCTGCATGCCAAGGCGCGCCTTGAGCCCCCGGAGCCGGGCCATTCCCCTCCACAGCCCTCAGGAGTGTGGCCCTGCTCACACTTCGATTTTGGAATTCTGGCCTCTAGAATTGTGAGAGAATAAATGTCTGTTGTTTAAAGTTACTGACATTGTGGTAATTTGTTATGGCAGCTCGGGGAAACTAATACAGTCACCAAGGCCCAAAGGAAATCTATCTTGTGTGACTGTGTCTGAAGTATGCAAGTCTTGAAAACCAAAGCACAAATATGTGCACTGTATTATCTGCTAGGGCTACCATAACAAAATACTATAGGCGAGGTGGCTTAAAGAACAGTTCTAGAGGTTGGAAAGTCCAAGATCAAGGTGCTGACAAAGTTAGATTTCATTCTGAAGTTTTTCTTGATTTGTAGATGGCCACCATCTTGCTGTGTGCTCACATGACCTCTTCTTTCTGTGCTTATGGTTGGGGGTGGGGGAGGAAGGGGAAGGGAGAGCATGCTTTCTGGTGTCTCTTCTTATAAGGCTCTAATCCAATCACAAGGGCCCCATCCTCATGACCTCACTAGCCTAATCACTTCCTAAATGCCCCATCTCCAAATACCATCACACTGGGAGAGAGGACGGTTCAACATATGAATTAGAGGGGACACCTTCAGTTCATGCAATGTACAATTATGTTATGTGAAGAACACAAGCTATTTTGGCTTAAGAGTTTGTAGCTATGTCAGGAAATGATAAGCACTTGATGTTTGCTTTGGGATAGCTTGGACATTAGAGTCAGATGAGCTAGATTACCAGACTGCTGAACGAGTGAGGAGAAGCAATGTGACCAGTGCCGTAGACAGACAGGGTTCCAACTACGGCAAGTAAAATCCAAGGGAGTTGGGCAAAGCCCAGTTAAGTTTCAGGTAAACACAAAGGGAGAAGAAAGCGTTTAGAACAAGATATTTAGTGAGGTTCTGTATTAGGTTCTCTATAACAAAGTAGCATAACCTGGGTGGCCTAAAACAACAGAAATTTATTGTCTCACAGTTCTTGCAGCTAGAAGTCCAAAATCAAGGAGTCAGCAGGGACATAAGCCCTTTGTAACCTAGAGGGGAATCAATCTTTCCTTGCCTCTTCCTAGCCTCTGCCGGTCTGGTGCTCCTTCACTTGTAGCTGTACCTCTCCAGTCTCTGCTTTGTCATCACATGGCAACCTCCCTACTTGCCTCTGTATATTCATGTGGCTGTCTTTATTCATAAAGACACCCACCCTACTTTTAGTATGACCTCATTTGAGCTAATTACATCTGCAAATGACCCTCTTTCTAAATAAGGCATTATAAAGGAAAAATGGGGTGCAGTAGTGATGGGAACCTTGGGCAGGTGATGGAAGATGACTAAGAAGAAAATCAGCCTCAGGAATGTCAAGGAATAGCTACCAGGACCCTGGACTCTAGGATGGGATTTAGGGACAACACTCCAATCACTAAACAAATTACTCATACAAGCATTTGGAAACAGAGACCAAACCTAGGAAATTAGAAATGAAAGAAAACTCAGGTCTGAGATCAAGGTAAGACCCCAAGAGTGAAAACTGTTGGAGAGGTTTCAAGGCAACTTGTTTCAGCAAGGACAGCAGGCATGTCTAGTGAACTGGACTACACAAGTAAAAACAGCACAAATGGCAGCTACTACCAGAAGACAGAGGTCATCTTTTCTGGACTACGTGGCAAGTAATGTTTTGCTTTTATCCTTGCAGACACATTTCTGAACAAAGATGGCAAGGGCATCCATTAGCATCCCGATCAAACACAAAGCACAGAAAATATGGCAGAATGAGTAATACGTAGTATGTCTCATGAGCTCTCAAATTTCAAGCTCGAAGTTTGGCTCTTCAAAACCTTTTCCAAATGAGGCATAAAAAAATGAGGAATTGAATCTAATCCCTGGTCCTCAAACCTCTTTAAGAAAAGATGTATATTTTTGTTAGAAGGATAATCAGTCTTTTTAGTGATTCAAAATCAGATGCAGGGTGAAAGAAAAATTTATTCAGTGAATGCAAATTAGCTACTTGTACAATTTCATGTACAACTTATAGATGTATTGGTAATATATGTAAATCCAGACATTAGTTTCAATTTGCATTTTGCTTATAAATGATGAAATTTCTCAATATGAGTATAATCTTTCAGTGTCAGAATCAAAATGAATACAACTATCAGGTATTAATATAATCAGAATAAATAACTGTTCAGCTACTGAATTTTGCTAGACCAGCAGGCTGGGCCATTTTAACACCTTCTTGGGTTTCCGTTACAGAAGGAAAATGTTCTTTCCCTCTTAAGCCTCAATTAATGATCAATTTCAGGGAAATTTGAGGGCTACTGTGTGGAAGGTCTGACATGTACCCTGAAGTAAGGAAAGGTAGCACAATGCATCTTTGAAAATTGATGAGGACCCCCTGACATTGAACCTGAGAGGAGGGGAGAGTTGGGAACTGGTAATATCTGGGAAGCTTTCAAATGAAAAAGGAAGTGAGTCAGATCAGTGGGTCACTGCTTATTAGTCCAAAACAAACAATCTGAGCTTGTGCATTAAATAAAGCAGCCTTCTGGAAAGTAATTTGAATTTTCTCACCACAGCAAACATACAACATATCAGGACTTGGCACCAAAGAAATTATATATGTGACCAAAAATGCTCTGAAAACAAAGATATATTTTATTTTATTTATTTTTTTAACTTTATTTATTTTTAGAGAAGAGGGAAAGGGAGGGAGAAAGAGAGGGCGAGGAACATAAATGTGCAAGAGAAACATCAATCGGTTGCCTCTCTCATGCCCCCAACCGGGAGCTGGCCCACAACCCAGGCCTGTGCCCTGACTGGGAGTTGAACTAGTGACCTTTTGATCTGTGAGACAATGCCCAACTCATTAAGCCATACCATTCACAGTGATATGTTTATTTTTGTATATGAGAAAGGTATGGCTTCAGAAATCAATACCTTATTAAATTCATTATTACTGCCAGAATTTGAAAAAAAAAACTGGTGTTTTGGGTATGATATTGCTTGAAGTGTAATTATTTAATAAAAGGAGTTGAGAATATTGCTGTAAGGCATCTTTCAGAAAGATGGAAACTGCCGTAGCCAAAAATATATTTTAAAAGCTTCATAATAAGTAAAAATACTAAACACTTCTTCAAACTATGGTACAATGGTTACTTTTATGTGTCAGCTTGGCTATGCTATAGTGCCAAGTTGCTTGGTCAGACATCAAGTCTAGATGTTGTGTGTAAGTAATTTTTTAGATGTGATTAACATTTAAATCAGTAGACTCTGGGAAAGCAGATTACCTTCCAGAATGTGGGTGGACCTCCTCCAGTCAATTGAAAGGCCTTAAGAGGAAAGACTGAAGTCCCCCGAAGAGGAAGGAATTCTGCTTCCAGATTGCAGACTTGAGTGACAACGTCTCCTCTTCCGTGGGTCCCTAGTCTGCCCTCCAGATTTCAGACTTGCCACCTCCTGCAGTCATGTGAGCCAATTTATTAAAATAAATCTCTCCATACTGCTTTCTCTAAATCCTATTATATCATCTACCTGCCCTTCTATCTACCTACCTTCTTCTTATTGATTCCATTTCTTTGGAGAATCCTAATCACATGAGTTATAAAGCTTGGAAGCATCCAGCCCTGGCTAGTGTGGCTCAGTGGATTGAGAGCCAGCCTACAAAGCAAAAGATCACTGGATTGATTCCCATTCCCAGTCAGGATATATGTCTGGGTTGTGGGCCAGATCCCCAGTAAGGGGCACATAAGAAGCAATCACACACTGATGTTTCTCTCTCTCTCTTTCTCCCTCCCTTCCCCTCTCTAAAAAGAAATTAAAAAAATAAAAATAAAAAAGTATCTTTGTCCTTTATTTAGTCCAGTGTTCTCAGTGGAATACTATTGCCTTGGGACAATTCTTTGTTATGTGGGACTTGTCCTACTTATTGAAGAACATTTAACATCCCTGTCCTTCTCCCCATGAAATACCACTAGTAGCTTACTCCCAAGCCATCAGGACAAACAAAACTTACTCTCAGCACATCCCTGAACCCACCTAAGGGACTGCCTGGTACTGGCCCCATTGAGAACCACTGACTCAGTTTAACTCACCATTTTATAGATGAAGAAACTGAGGTGATGAGAAATTTGCTTTTTTCAATATTAATTAGTGGCAATATAGTAGTGAGGACTCAGGTGTTTGAATTCTCAACTTAGTACATTCCTACCGCCTTTATAAATCCTATGAAATAGCCTAGATGTGCTTATTTTAACATTAAATGTATAAAAGCCTTCGGGATATTATAAATTGAGCATTTAGCACATAAAATTTACAATCCTACTTTTTCACATTTTTGAAGCATCTTCAGCTAAGCTCTAATTCTGTGTTGTTTGGTTATCCCAGTGCCCTCACTTGGAAAATAATGCTCTCCTGTCCTGGCTGGTGCGACTCAGTGGACTGAGTGCTGGCCTGTGGACCAAGTGGTCGCCGGTTCAATTCCAAGTCAGGGCACATGCCTGGAGTCGCGTCCCCAGTAGGGGGTGCGCAAGAGGCAACCACAAATTGATGTTTCTTTTCTCTCCCTCTTCCTTCTCTTCCCCTCTCTCTAAAAATAAGTAAATAAATTTTTTTTTTAAAAAAAGAAAATAATGCTCTCCTTCTTTGATTTAGCAATGTGCTTCCAGCACGACCTGTGGTTCTGCCCTTCCCAGCTGTGGTTGGTTTCAGTGGACATCACGGTCCAGGCCAGTCAATCAGAATCCTCCCCTGTTATTTTTCAAACTATGAACAAGAAAGGGAGCCAATAGCTCCCCTTTGGAAACCATGGAAACTATAGACTATGACACAGAGGTTGTTAGTGGTTGTGTTTTCCACTAAGACAGAGGCTGGTTTACAGTGAAGGAAAGTGAAGCTGAGACAGAGGGAGAAGCAGAAATGAGGAGTAAAAAAGAGAAGGTTTCTGCAAGGGTGTGGCCCCTGGGCACCGTTGTTCTTGTGACTGGGCTGCTTCCCTGTCCTCCTCCTGGTTTAGCTGCTCATCCTTCCCTTTGATTGTATGACACAACAATATCTTTTGAACAATTCCTCTTTCTCTGTGGTCTAAACTAGTTTGAATTGTGTTTCTGCCACTGACAACTAAAATAATCTTTTCTTTTTCCCCAAAAAATGATTCTTTGAATTTTTTTTATAATAATGCAATTCAGATGCATGGCAATAGTTACACCTCTCAGCAAAGGCAGTGATTTAACTGTGTCACCAAAGTTATATAATCTTGTAGAAATTAAGAGGCTGTGGCTTCAGTGAGGTCGAAAGTGTACCTGTATCATAATCTTCATCACCATTATCAGAATTATCTGGATATTGATTGTTTTCTGAGCTTTGGCTTCCGTTTACTTATACAAGTCTCCTCTTTTGTTGACATAGTTTTGTAAAATGCCATCCTCACCATAGATCTCCAATTCAAATTGAATTTCTGTTCTTTGAGATACAGCATTTGGTGTGGCATCTGTAATTTCTTGTGCACCTGTCTGCAATGGATAACTGAGCCAGGCTCTGTGTGGAATTGTTCATGACACAGGTGGCAGTTAGGGGCTTTGCATCTGGTAACATATAAGGCTCTTTTCATCCTTAACTTCCCGGTTAGGATTTTCACACTAGGATCCTGCTACTTCTTGCAGACCATAGCTGTCTTTGGCTGATGGGCGGAAAGAAGGAGTAAATATGAAAAATGAGGAGAAAGCTACCTTCTACAGCTTGGTATTTCACAGGAAAAAAACACCTTTGGTGCTTAAAAAAATGCAGAATTTAGAAAAGTCACTTTATCTTTCCTTTTTCTCTGGTTTCCCCGACTCATGGACCACCCTGTAAGTAACCTGAAGGATGTGCACCATGTAGACTGTGACACATGCTATGTCATCTGTGGGAAGAAAACTCCAGGACCAGTTATAGTCCTCACACTGCCGAGACCCAGACTCACACATTTTTTTCCTACACAAACCATGTGTAACTCCCTTCCCCCAACTCCTTCAAGAAAAGAAAACACAACTTCACAAAGAAATATTAATTAGAATACCAAGACTCTTATAGGTCTAAGAGCCCCATTATAAACTCTCCTATGCTCAGAAGACAAACGGGTCCATTTTATCCACCTCATGCTGTGGCCGAAGTAACATGAGAAACACCAAACATCCCCTGAAGGTGAAATTCTGTTTCAGATCTCGATCGTCAACTTGTTTTCTCCTGCAGTCTCACCTTGATTTTCAGGGGTGGCTTCTCCCATACCCATGTTTGTTTACCCTGGTACCTGCCTCTCTTTTCCTTTATTTGTGCTCCCCAAGCCCTGACATATTACCATACTTAGGAGTGGACACCCCACCTCTGAACCAGCACATCAGACACCCCGAGCTCAATTACCATCCTGCTCATCACGCAGCCTCATCCCACGTGCTGCCAGTGAGCCTGGAAATGACACCAATACAAACCTGCCACTTCCCATGTCCTCTCTGCCACAGAGGGCAGGGTCTACTTTATTCACTCACCTCAAATTGAAGAGAAAATTTATAGTCAGAGTCTTTGGCCATGTCCCTGATGTAGGCGTCAAAGTCATCCAGTTGAACCGGGCTTTATCAAACACAAAGAAATGTTTTAAAAATCCTATCAATAGGTATTAACACTGTATTTCTTGAACATGAACAATTTTCTTGGAGAAAATAGAAGTTTTGCTTCTTAAAGGTTAGCACTCACCTTTTTTTTTTTCTTTTTTGGTTAAAGTTAGCAGCCTCTAATATGTTGTAATAAAAAACAGAACCACTACATTAAACTTCCTTGAGATAGGAAAGCTCTCTAGATCTTCAACTGGCTCTTACTCTAGCAGTAAAATATTGCATACATGCATACACATGTATATGTCTTGTTTCTAGAAAACTCTGGTTTGGGGGAAAGAACAAAGGATTAGACTCTAAAGACCTGTTTGAGTTATGGTTTTACTTTATTTATTGTGTGACCTTGGAGAATTTACCTAACTCTTCTTAGATTCAACATTCTCATCTATAAAATATTATTATCATACCATCTCACAAGGTTATGCGTAGTATATAAAGAACGTTGTAAGTGTAAACAAGCTTTATGGGGGTAAAGAATGGGGCTGCTTGCTACACCGTCTACCCAGAACCGGGGCAGGCCTGTGGCGTGGAGCATAACATACATCCAGAGAGCTCCCAGGGCCTGCCTCTGAGAGAGCCCCGCCGAGAGGCCTGCATATCTGCAAAATGATAGGTAGGTTCACAGACACAATCAAATAAGACATCTGAGCATAAGTTTCTGCATCTGTAGAAAAACTCCTCACTGCTTTTCTTGTTTTTTTGTTTCTTTTAAAAGTTACGTTTTATTTCTTGTAGTTTTCTGTAGCTGTTTACCTCTTCTAGGATCTACCAATACCAACCTGCTCCCTCAACTTCCCCTGCATGCTACACTCTGGTCACCTAGCCCAAGCCTTTCTACTGGACACGGTCCACACAGTTGACCTTTCCTGTAGTTTTCTTCCAAGTCACTCAGCTTACGTCATCTACCGTATTTTGCTGTGTACATTGTGCTCCTGTGTATAATGTGCACCCACATTTTTGGCCCAAACATTTAGGAAAAAATCTTTTGCTTTAATTTTTTAATTCAATTATTTATTTACTTATATTTAGAAACAAAACTGAACATCGTATTCCAGGGTATTATTTTGTGTACAGATATTGTTATTGCATCCCAGAGTTACACTTTTAACACATAAGCATAAATAAAAGAATTAAAAACACTTATGTTGATACAAAATTAGTACTACCCATGTATAATGTGCATCCTTATTTTTCCCTCAAAAATTTGCACAAAAGTACGTGTTATACATGGCAAAATATGGTACATGTGGCCCTATGTCCTCATAGCAAATACACAGTACTTTATAATTATTTGTTTGAAGTTGTTGACCAGCTAACCTGATTGTTAATTTATTTTAAGATTTTAGGTTTTAAAGGGCATTATACCTCCCAGATAATACATTTAAACTTTAACTATTTTTCTTAATAATAATAACATTAATCACTTACATACATACAACACTATAGATCTAAAATATTCACATATGTTATCCTGCTCTATTGATGGTTGAGCTAGACACAGCCTGCATTACCCTGTGCTCCAGATGCGAGAGTCAAAACTAAGAGAATCAAGAGAGTAGGATAAAAAAACAACAGCAGAAAAAAGAGGGAAAAGAGAGATAGAGGAAGAGCCAGGAAATACAAGTATGAACATCAGGGAGAAGAAGAATTTAGTACGGGGGAGAAACCAAAAGCTTGGAGGGAACAGATATCAGCGGGACCAAGATGTAGAGGGCAAGGCGGAGAGAGAAGGTGAAGAAAAGGAGTGGAGGGATGAAGACAAGTGGGGATGGGAAAGGGGAGCCAAGGGCACATGGCGGTGGGGGGAGCATTTGGAGTGAAAGAGAAGAGGTAAAGAGAAAGCAAATAGAAAGGTGGGGGAGGAGGAAGAAAGCCTCTCAATACAGAGCTTTTAGAGAAGGAGATAGGATTAGAGTCAAAATGAGAAGAGAGAAGGAGGAAGCTGGTTTGATGCAATGTTTTGGCTTGTGGGCAGTTTCCACCACTGCTAAACTCTACCCAAACTTCTGTCCACACCCTGCTTCTCCTTCTCCTTCTCCTCTCTGCCTGTGTCTCGGGAGAAACAAGCCCTAATAAAGTCTCCCTTTTGGTCCCAAGACTCTGTCCTTTAACTGATCTAGTCTGCGTCTCTCTACCTCTCTTAACCCAACCAATAATTTGGGCAGTCGGAGTGTTTTTGTTCCTGCCAAGTCACCCTCCCGGGGTCATCTCTTCTCTCTTTAGGCTGGTCTTGTCTCTCCTCCATCACTTGATATATGCCAATGGAAGGCATACTGATTTGAAATAGATTTAGGGAAAAATGATTCTGTTACTTATTGTGTCACTTAAGGCTAAACAGAAATATTTTTATATCAACTTTTCTTTTGTATCACGTAGTCCTTGACTTTTCTCCCATTAGTATGGATGCCATAAATCAGGCTGGAACCCCTAACTACCTCATATTAATTCACTAACATTCTATCCTAGGCAAGCATCAAGGATGAGCTCTATTTATAGGGACTTTCCACTCTTTATATGCACAGTTTAGCTAAAGGCCTGGAGGTGATAATCTAATTAGGCTTTTGAAATCAACTGATGGTTAATTTTCACCCATCAGAGTCTTAATTCTTACAACTTAACAGTTCAGTAGATAAGAGAAACCACAGGCTAGCAAGAGCAATTGTCTTTTTCTATTTATTATAAAATTTTCCTGAGACAGCATTTCTCAAAGCATTTATTATAGCATCAAATATACTAAAAGTCTTTCCCTGCAATAAACACAGAACTTCAAAACACAAAGTGGCAAAGGTTTTTGTACATTTTTTGTGGATAAAAGTTAAATTTTTTATAGATTTAGAATAACAGACTTTGACTTTTATAATTCCTAACAACCCATTCTTTCTCAGATTTCATATGATGATTTTTTTATCTCTGACATGATTTCTGCGACACACTTTCTTGATAGTCATGACCATTTATCGGTGTAAACACACCAATATATTATAGCTCAGCTATTTTAATATGCATTTGCTTCTTTCTTTCTTTTTCTTTTTAAATAAATTTTTATAAGCGTTTATCTGAGCCATAATGACTTCATACGCCTGGGAATAAGATCTCCAATGTTCCTTGCCTCTTTCTCAAGCATCCCCTCTACTTGAACAAGCAATTCTTTTAATTTGTAAAGTTAACATCATTAGGAAGACCATTTTATAATAAAGTATTTTAAAATGAAATAGTAAGAATAACTTGCTGTACTATATACACTTCAAAACTACTGGAGACTAGTCCTTCTGTGTGCTCACCACAAAAGGAAAATGGTAATTACGTGACCTGACGGAGGTGTCAGCTCACGCCATGCTGGGAACCACATTGCAATATGTAACCGCATTAGACCTATATATTGTACACCTTAAACTTGCACGATGTTAATGGTCAATTATATCTCAATAATAAAAACACTTACTTAGTCAGTTTTCTCTTCTTTAAACCATTTTTACTCCTGAAAATTAAAAAATAAGACAAATTTATCTAGAAAAAAGAACTCATTGATGCAATGAATAAGCTTGAAAAGTTTTAAATAATTACATCAGGAACCTCAATTTTATTTAATTTTCATTAAACATATCTCAGGTTTGTTTAATTAGTTTTCCTTAAATGAGAAAATAATGATAATAATTTCAGACTCATTTTTTAAAACTCTTGTTAGATTACAGGAACATTCCTACATTTTATATTTAATATTTGTCAAAAACAGATTTTTGGAAATATATAATTTCTTGCTACTGGTGATTAAGTTGCTAAAGTATTTTGTAAATGTATATAAGTGTCAACTGTCTGAATACTCCCAATTCTAGAGGCAAGAAGTACAGAATCAGGGAATAAAAGTGAGAAATAATGGTGGGAGGGTATATATGTTGGTCTCTTAATTAAAGACTGAAATAGCTTTTTTGGACATTTTTGTTGGGCATGTGAATTTATGCTATCAGCGTTGGCCTGTATCTTACATAGTTCTACAATGGCATGTTCGTATTCAATTTTATACCAGCTTGTAAGCTATTTGAAAAACTGAACCTATAATCTGCTTGTTCTTAATTCATTACTGGTTTGTAAGCTCAAATACATGTGATGCTAAGGAATGTTTCAACTAGTTACATTTCTAAGAGGGTATTTAGGGGAATAGTTTTTAACCAACAAGCAAGATACCTAACCTAGTTAGCTAATGCTAGGATAGAATCTGCTGAAACACTTCATTATTGTATTTTAATGTCTTATATAAATAATAAATATTATAAAGATTGTGAGTGATACTTTTTTATAAGTAATTTTCAACAGTCTTTAAAAATTGATGGAAGCACCCAAACCTTCAGAAAATAAGCACTCTACAGAAAATAACCAGGTGTGATTTGAGTACTCTTATGGGCCAAAAATATTTATTTATAATGAGAAGTATGAGTGTTCTGATACCTCCACTCCCAGAAAGCCTTCAGCAGAATAAAGCACCACCTCCTCTGTGCCTTCATAGTACATACTAAGTTTTGCTCATGTTGTCTGACTGTCAACTGTCAGTCTTTCTGACTGCTAGACTGACCCTTCCCCCAGAGCTGAGCACAGCTAATGGAACACATAGCGAGTGGTTAATAAATGCTTATTTAATTAAATTGAAACAAATATCTTTGCTATGTCACTCTGACCATTTTACTTAATGATTCAATTAAGAACTGGACACTGGACTTGGGTTCCTGAGGTCTCACTGTGGAAATGGGGCTTGTGGATGGAGAGAAATTAAAGCAGGATAGAAAATGTAGAGAAATATCCATGGGGCAAGGGGTCTTTCTGGTTTCAAGTGGTTTTTATTTCTTCCCAATTCTGAGTGAAGACAATCCATTCAATAGTTCCTGTCCTATTTTTTTCTCCTTCATCCCCTCTTTGTCTTCTATACTTGGGATTTAAAGGGAATAAATATTCCAGTTTTTACTTTGCCTCTCCCTTATCCCCTCAAAACAACAACAACAACAACAACAACAACAACAACAACACTGTAATATTAGACCGAACTGTGTCATATAACCATTTGGGAACCTAAAGAAATACCTCTTGAATAATTTTGTACTCAGCTCTTGTAATGAGTTAACTTCAGGAATCCCACATTCACTTCATGTAGCAGGAACCAATTACTTAAGTCGTTTATGAAAGCAGAATGTTAGCATAGATAACAGTTCTGGCAAAGTCAGAAGGCTGCCAAAGTATGTTATGATTGGGAGCAAATTTTTTTTTTTTAAAAAAAGAAAGAAACCTTTCTTATCCAAACAGACTTTCAGGGAAACTGGGAAGAAACAAATGTATGTGGCAAGATGACACTGAATAAATTCAGTGCTGAACCATTAAGCTGCTGCTATTCAGCAGCTGTGCAGAAATCAGATTCATGGGGCAGAGACCCTCATTCTTCTTTTGGTCTCATTCACTGACCGAATGAACTTTAAACCAATATGAAATTCTACCGCATGGTGGATCTGACTTCCTATCTATCATACTTTTATCATCTTAAGTACGTGTCTTCATGATCTATGTACAACTTTCAGTGTTATGGCTAGATTTTGCTGAGGCTATGGGACATGATAGGACTGAATTATGAGACTCCACAGCAATACTGATATAATTTTCCCTACATTTTTAATTGCTGTGCTAATTCTAAGACTAAAATCTGGGGAAATCCACTTTTAAACACATAATTTACAGTTTCACTAACAATTTTAACTTTGGCATATTATGAAAAAAGATAGTGTATGTATGGATGTTACAATGAAGATTTTGGGTGATATTTAGAGAAAATTCTTGTCATTGCAATAGGTTTTCTGAAAAATTAATAAATAACAATCATCAGACATATGTTATATATGCATATAGGATCATGCACTTAAAATTTTTTCCCTTTCATTTATATTTTGTAAGGTTCAAAACTAATGATTTCAAGAAGCTAAGATGCATTCTTTACAAGTTCTTCATGGTATGACAGTCTTAGAAAGCCACCCAGATTGGAATTTAGATTGGAATTCATTGCAAAGAAGGATATAAAGCAATGGCAGAGACACGGGATTTATGATGGCTAAAAACATAAACAACACCACCACCCCTGAAAAAAATCTAGTCATCTCCAATTTCATGAGCACTTACTTTGTCATGAGCCAAATGGAAATCATCCCCAAATCTTAAAAAAAGGCCTTTAGAGTTACATCATTCTCTGAATAGAACATGCAATAACCATAAATAAAGTTGAGCATTTTAAAGTCAATGTTGCTTCATGCTTGCGATGTCAACTGTTGACGATTTAGAATAGGCAAAAGGATATTTGAGTACAGCATGAGGGTAAATATGTTAGTAAGAAACAGGAGAGTAATGACACTGAATCCAGTAGAGGTAGTTATTAAAGTCAGAAATCCTGGTGGAAAGTGATCTGGAGGCTAAGCCAACTGAGCACTGGTGTTCTACTCTGATCCTGCTACTATCCTGGGAAAAGATTCGAGCGACACTGTGAGAAACAGAATTGATTTCCACACGAACCACTAGAGACATTGGGAGGATTTTAGAAAATCAATAGAAACATATCTTTTCGTGAAGGTGACAGTTTAGAGAAGGAACTGGGCCGTGTATTAAGAGGAGGTGGGTGAGTAATTAGATGAAAAGTAGCAAATGGGGAATTCGAGTGGCTTGCTGAGGACTGAGCTAAATTAGGAGCAGGGATCATAGATTCTACTTCTTTTATATTGGCATGGCTCAAGTCTAGGGCTGAAACCATAGATTATGATTTTTTTTCACTATATTTTCACAGGTTGATATGTGTGTAGTTTACTAAAAGTGACAGAAAGTATAGGGCTCTATATTTTGTCTTCTCTTCTCTCCTGGAGATAACCATTTACAGTTTCAGGGTAGTTCTTTTAAACCACACTGAAGGGTTTTTACCTCTCACTTCGGTCTCCTGTTATTTGGTTAGTACTACAAATATTAGACCTTGAAGGGATTGCTGAAATTTGATCTTGTGTTTGTCAGAGAGACCTATTTAAAAAGACATGCAAATAAGCATACGCCTGCCTGATATAAGCTTAGAATGACCGGTGGAAAAATGAGAAAAACAGGGGAACGAATATAATATTATATGCATTTTTCTTTCTTTTAGTTCAATTGAAATCTGTGAAGAGTACCTTGAGAGTATTTTTTTACAAGCATTTTATGATAGGTAGAATACTCAAAAATGATTAGATGTTGAGTTAAAAGTAAATTTATATTTCTAAGGACAAATTGGAATTTATATGCACTTCTCATACCTGAAAACTACCTGACATTAAATACTTAAAAATATTGTGTTGACTATGGTGAAGTCCTGTACTGAAAACTGTGTTAAAAACACATGTCGGGGAGTGAACGGGTCCTCATCATCTAATACATCCTCTGACTTTATTACTTATACATTGGTGTTGCCTTTCAAAAGTTTTTCTCAAGCCTCTATTTTTAAAGAAAATACAAATTCTGGTATTAACTATCAGTATTTGAGGAAGTCCTTTTTAAAATATTTCTTCCATTGAAAGTTAGAGTCCTAAATTTTGCCAGCTGTATTTATTTTGTTCTCAGAGGAGCTGGAGAACATTTGATCAATTGTCCTTTTGCATAAATAACTCTCCAGATTGCTTTTCATCTTTCCTTCTCCTGCCCCAAACATAGACCATTTTTTCTCAGTCCATGAACTTTTTAAAATTTCTTCTTTCTGAGTCCTCCTCAAGCTGTCCGCATTTCTGGATCTATCTGTATGTACATAATTTACTACCTAAACACCATGAACTAATGCTTAAAGGTGATATTTTTGTCAGTTTTCTGGGGAAGCACTACCTTTTTTTATGGTTCAGGAAAAGAAATAATACTTCTACACATGGTAGTCTCAGAATTCAAGACAATTGTGATTAATATTATTATTTTTTTAAACTGAAAAGGATACTCTTTAAGATTTGATTATTATAATAATTTAAAAGCCAAGAAAGCAAGTATTTAAAGGAGGCTACTCTTTACAGAGAAAAGAATAGACTTCAGAGACTCCTGGGTTGGGAAGCTGAATATTCTATATAATGTGATGTTATGACAGTTAAGCTTGTTAAGCCTTTATTTCCATATCTCTAAAATGGGGTGAAAATACCTTTGGCAAAGTTGTGGGGACAATTACATAAGATAATTATTCAAGGAGGCTTGAATATGGTCAGTTGCTCCATGTTCCTTAAAGAGTTAGCATTGTTATTAAAAAAAATAGGAAGGCCCTAAATATAGGGTGTAGTACTCTGGATTTCTTTACCTTAATATATTTTTTTTCTTGGCAATATGGAACCTTGAAATGGATGGAGATGATAAGGAAAATGGAAAGCAAAATTTACAAAATGAGAGGCCAATAGATGGATTTAGAAGAAAACAAATGACTAGTAATAAATGGAAGGAGAGCATGCCAAGAACATCACAAGAAGAAATTTTAATTGGAAAACATTGTTAGCATCTTGGGACCATTAAATGCTTTAATCCACTTCAATGTATGATTAATAATTTTAGATGCTGCCAACACACAAAAGAATTTTTCTGTTTTGCTTATTTCCTGAAAGCGAAGTTTTAAATACTATGTTAGGTAAACAGTAAAAAAAAAAAACCACTTACCAAGGATTAATATAAAATGCCAAAAGATAATCAGTCCAAAGACATGAAGGTAGCAGAGTTAAGAAAGCAAATATACTCCTACGCCTGTGAGCATTAATAGATAACAGATGTAAAGATGAAGAAGTGGCAAGAGTTAGTAATATAAATTGTGAACAGATAGCAGTACATTACTTACTGGAATCAAGTCAAATAAGCACCTTAATTATAATTAAATATTATTCCATTCCATGAAATTTAAATCTGAGGGCTGAAGTGTTATAATATTGTCAAAATCAGTTTTATTCACACACAGCCTCTTATTGTAATCAGATATATTTTTTTCAACTTATTTTGTGCTAATTAGTCTGCTATAAGGTGATTACATTTTGCATTCACGTAAATGAGGCGCTTAAATGCCTCATTAGTTACCTTGAGTCTTATTCTTGGATATTACCCTTGCAGTGCTCAGGCCTATTTTAAGGAACCTGTATAACATCATTTGCTAGCTAACAGCAGCTTGTGGGAGGAAATATAAGTGGTGAGTTTACACATACTGATCCTGGTGAAGACTGAGCTTTCAGGGCCCATTCTTATAAAGCTGCACTTCTCGTGAACTACTGTGACTTTCTATATTGTTTTTATTTTAACTTAGACATAATTTCTAAAAAATAACCCTTAACATGGAGGTATGGCATGACTCTCGAGGTATCATTCATTTAAGAAAAGTAGTTCATCAATTGCCTCGTCTGGAATCTGAACCGAAACTCAGCTGAGTGGAGGAACAAATTATTAGGTTTGACTTTATTTCTAAATCAGACTGCTGGTTTAAAATGCGTGGTTTGAAACCAATTTCAAACACTCAAATCACTTGTAAAATAGAATATTCATCCATGCAGATTTTAAAATACCCTATGGCTGCATGTGTAGTTTTTCTGAGAATTAGGGGGAAAGTGCTGTCACTTTGTCACTTTAACTATTATGAACCTCCACTGAGATATCTATTCTCAGTCAGCCAGAAAGGGCCGGTGCTGGAAGGTCTGTCTTTGCCAAGAGTTGCCTGAGAATTCTCTTGATTTTGTCAGAAGGCCCTGAAGTGAATTCCCTTTTGCCTCAGTTCTCCCATAATGGGTGTCCCATATTCTGTAAGTTGTGGCTGGGTGTGTAGTCAATACATAGCTCTCCTGAGTCACACGTATAAATGAATCATTTCCTTCATGGACCACTCATCACTGCTCTGTGACTGGGCCTTCTCTAAGGGTGGGCCAGGTGACAAACAAATATCAATGAATTAGTTTCTTAACCTTGAAAAAAAAGTGCTAATATATTTGAACAAACCTAGAAATGTTTTCTAAGTTTTCACCATCAAAGGTTTATGGGTTTCTCTCTCTTCACAGTTGGATTAATGGTATCTGAATAGCAAAACTCCACTCAAACTAAAACTTAACAGTACAAAAGAAATTCTATTTCAAGCATACTTTCAACTAGAATGGGCATCAGGTAGATCGGTGCCAACTCAGGGAAGTAGAATTTACATTTTAAATAAAGTCCTCCCTCCCTCATTGATTCTGTAGAGTAAAATGCCCAGTCTCAGATATCTATTTCTTTAAGATTAATCATTTTGGGGGATTAGTAAAAATAGAAAAAAAATCACTTACTAAGAACTAATATGAAATAAATATATTTAAAAGTGCTTTGCACAGTTACTTGCACAAAAGTCAAACTAGATCACGTAAGCTGTGGTGGCTTCATATTAAGCAGTTCCTTAATTAGCAGTCTTGTTGGGTATTGTCTGCAAAGTATTTAATTCTCATACATCATTGTTAAGTATAATGTTAACCGATTTAATCTCCTGACAAAGTTTTCTTAATTCTCAAAGCACCCCCTCCCTCCAGGTCCTTAATAACCAAGAATAAAGAAAAAAATGGTGCCATGTTTTCTCATGGGACTTTCCTGGCTATGATGTTTATTTGCCTGTAAGTATAAGAGCTGAGGGCCCTGGGCTGTTCCATTCTACTTGATCTTTGAACAGACGTCGTGGCTCATGTACCTGGGCACTGAAATGTGAGTTATAAGTAGAGGTGCTCTTCTGTCTCATGCTGTTTCAATGGGGTATCCTGTCATACCTTCAGCCACCACTTGCTCATTGTGGCTTCTGCATTTAAGCTCTTCTTGTGCACAGTTATGGGCTACTTGCATAACTGATGATTTAGTTCTTTGTTTAATATAGTCAATACAGGGCAGACTATGACATTTTTGCTACTTCATAATTGTATTAAACTAATATATACCAATATACTCCGTGAATATCTAACCTCTGAAAGTTCCTTGTCAAAGAAATTAGGATAATCAGGCAAAACCATTTATCCCCCAAAGGCAGTAAGATAAAGTTTGGAGCACACACAGCATACCTAGGCTGTCCAGAGGCTTGTTCCAAAAGAATACTCACCAGTTGTATGGAAGCTTTCCATCCCTCTCCAAGGATGCAAAATTGACAAAAGTTCCTGCTCCACACTCCCTGTGTGAAAGGAATCACAAAATCAAGGTTATTGCTTGTTGGAGAAGCACTCTTTCACCCTGACATATAAGGCTTTATCGGCTTATCACCATGACATTATGTTTTCAAAAAAAGCTAAATTAAGTTCTATGGGTTTCTCTATTGCATAAAATGCAAAATAGAAAGATAAAGCAAAACAAAACTATTTTTCACACATCTCTATAGCAAATAATTTGAGGCCAAAAGGTTTCAGTTCACATTGCTTTCCAAAGAGCACTCAGGATCCTAAGTAAATCTTTAACTGTTTGGGATTTGATATTTTTTACAAAATAAGTCATAGCCACTCTCCTAAATAAAATGATGGGTTTTTTTAGTAAATATTTTTGATAGGGTTTTCTTTTCTCATAGCATACTGATTTCCTCTCTATAATGACGGTGGATCAAAGTGTATTGTTTTCTCCTGCCAAAATTGTCCCCTTATGTAGTCATGCCTATAGTATTTGTCACTTGAGATCAGGAAAAAGAGGCTGTGCAGAGCCTCTTATCCAGAACGTTGCTTAATAATCTGTCAGCACAAAATATGGTTAATACTTTTTCTAGAATTGGAGTAAAAAGGTAAACATATTCTCATACCTTCTCCATCTTTTGCTTCATATCATGCATAAAGAACATAGCTCACTGAGGCTCACACATCTTATTTTCCCTCTAAATGAAATTGATGGACTTATTCAGAATTGAAGCAGAGATGTTTTATTGGCACAATGTTATCTTCTTGTTCTTATTAGGGTCTAAAAAGAGTTTCCCTTTTTGAAAAATACATGAATATATTTTTATATCATATTTTATCTTAAATTACTCATCAATTGATTTTCCTATGTCAAATTCCCATAATATATAGGAATTTATTTTACATTTAAATGAGGACAATTTTTACCCTCCAAGTCAAGCGTTCTTAAACTAAGGTCCAAGGCTAGAACGTAGGGCTTCATGAACATATGTGGGAAAAAAATACATCCTCATTTTCCAAATTTCTTCCTAAAATGTAGCACTTCCTTTAATTATTAAAGTAGGTAACAAGCCACAAAATATCATCAGTACTTGTGAGATTTGCTAACAATAGAAATTGCAGATATTTCTCTGTAATAGACTTGCTGCAGGTATTGAAATATTGTTCATATTTTTTGCTATGATAAAATAGGAGAATTACTAGTCACTCACTAAATATTGTGATCTAATGATTTAATAAAGAAGCATACAACACATTTGTTTTTTTACATACTTTGATGACCATATTTTAACATAATCATTTTTTAAGTCCTATGTATTTTATTTTATGCGCTTAAAAAGAAAGCACTGTTCTTGGAAGAGGGCTGCAGGTTTCATCAGACTGCCAGAGGATCATGGCATAGAGTGTTACAAATCTGTGCCCTTGTCACCAGCTGGCTGAAGTAGAGCCACTTCGAAATATTTTGCTGTATGTAGCATTGAGGATGCACCTGCAATAACACCCACATAAATTCTACTACTTCCATTACTACATTACCGCCCCCTCCACTGTTACTCTTACAAGCTGACATTTATTGCACACTCCCTATGAGCTGAGTGTTATGTCATGCTATTACTACATTATTGCATCTCACTGTCCACTAATGTAGGCATCATTATCGCCTTTTAATATACATTCTTTCCCTGGCTTCCAGGCTACCTCACTCTTCATTTTCCTTCCATTCCACTGGAGGCCCCTTGTCAGTCTTTTTTGCTGCTGTTTTTCTCCATGAAAATCTCAATACTAGATTGTTCTGGTGCTTAATCTAGAAACTTCTTCTGTAATTTATACTTTCTGGATTTCATCCCGTCCACAGCTTTAATGTCATTTATAGACTAACAACTCCCAAATTTATATCTTCAGTCCAGACTTCTCTCCTGAACACCAGACTTTTATGTTTAACTGCCTACTCTACACCTGTACTTGCAGTCATCTCAAACTTATACCATTTCCCAAACTGAAGTCTTTTAAAATATAATTTCTGCTGTTTAAAAAGATTTTATGTACTTATTTATGTTAGAGAGAGAGGAAAGGAGGGAGAGAAATACTGTTGTGAGAGAAAAACATCAGTCGGTTGCATCTCCTAACCGCCCTGCCCCACCCTGCCCCCACACCCTCAACTGAGGCCTTGACCTGACCTAGAATCAAACCAGCCACCTTTCGCTTTGCGAGAGGAAGCCAACCAAACTGAACCACATCCGTCAGGGCCAAAACTCAGGTCTTGATTTTTCCCCCAACTCTGAAAGCCTTTCATCTGCAATCCCACTTCAGTGGACAGCAATTCCGTCTTTTCGGTTGCTAGGGCTGAAAACCGTAGAGTCATCCTTGATCCTTGTTCATATCCATTCAACACGCAACTTGTTAGCAAATCCTGTTGCCTCTATTTTCAGAATATATCTGCCACCTGATCATTTTTCCCTGCCCGCCATCACTGCTCCCCTGGACTGACCCCCTGCCATCTCTGTCTTGCCTGGATTACGGTCATGGCTCCCCCAGTTCACATGCCTGCTTTTGTCCTTGTCTCATTACAGCTTGTTTTACGTGAAAGGCAGAGTAAAAATGTTAAAATCTAAGTCAGGTATTTTTAATCTTCTGCGCAAATTCTGTGATGGTTGCCCATTTATTTAGAGTAAAAGCCAAAGTCCTCACTATGGCCTACGAAACTCTATATAGTCAGAAAGCACCTCCTGCTACTCCTCCATTCATTTTCTCTGCTTTAGCCACTCTTAACTTCCAGCTATTCTTTGAACCTGCTAGTCATGTTCCTGCCTCCTTAGGGCCTTTGCCCTGCCTGTGCCCTCTACTGGGTACACTTTCCTCAGATACCATGTGACCAACTTCCTCGTGTTCAAGTCTTTTCTCAAAAGCCACCTTTTCAGTGAGACCTCCCTCCCTCCCAGGGCTCCTTTCCCCATATTCCCCGGACAGGCACTGCCAATCTCTCTTATCCTGCTTTGTTATTTTTCTGTTATTGTCTGCTAACATATCGTATAATCTCTTAGCTTTCGTCTTTATTATTTACTGTTTATCTTTTCCATTAGAATACAAGCTTCATGAAGGCAGCATTTTTTTGTCTGTTTTGTATACTGTCATATTCCAAGTACCCAGAGGAGTCTGACACACAACAGGTGTCCACTGGTATTTGTTAAAGGAGTGAACACAGTTTCAGTGGACTATATAAGGACACATAGGTTATAAATCCTATTTTGACCCCAAGGAGTATGATTTCAGGAGTTTATATTCTAGCTTCAGTGCTATAGCACTACCCCTTCTTATCCTCCTAAGATTCGTTCTAATGCCAGCATTAAGAAGCTTCATTTCTACATTCTTAACTTATCTCTTTTCTTTACTTTCATGTTATCCCATTCTTATTTCTTTCCTGGCACAAGTCAGTTTATACCTTTAAATATATTTATTTATGTACATCTCTCCAGCTAGGCTCCGAGTGGACAGCTTGGATGTCTGATTTTTCTTTGACTATGTCATATAGGCACATCATATAATAGTTATTAGATGGATAAAATTTATTTATGAATAGGTGAATGACAGAGCTTTGAGAAATGAGAAAGATGTTCATAGATGACAACTCAGTAGGCTAACATCGGCCAATGTACATTTCAATCAAATTTCCTAAACCCAGTAGTACTCAACTAGGTAACAGGCTTTTTTTTTTCTTTTGAAAACTGATAGTTGTTCTTGTAATATAGGGGACCACAAAAAGGTTTTGACAATATGCTCTGATAAGAAAGGCATCAGTGGTCAAAAGAATAAAAAAAATCAAAATCATAAATCAAAAGTCTTTTCTAACCACAAGAATGATGCAACTGCTTGCCACTCTAAATAACATGAACAAAAATGACAGGGGAATCCTTAATGGACCCAGTCATAAACTCTACAAATACCTTTTCATAAGACAGCTTCAACAGCTCTAATAAGGATAAGGATTTTTTTCCTCTCTTGTGGTCTCCACATATATTAACTTTGTTTTTAATCAATCATACTGAGTAGGTATAGATTTTTTCTTTTACTCCAAAAGAACTTTGAAATTACACAAATGTAATATATGGGATACTTAAAATTACCAGATCCACAGTTAAGAGGTCTGACTTTGTGTAAACCAATAATCTTTTGCTTTACCATTCGATGGTAGTGTTTTCTAAAATAATACTAAAAGTCTTCTTAGAAAACATGAAATAGAGGTATAAAACTTACTGCTATAAAATTTAGGTCTGCAAAAACATACATGGAAGATAAATACAATACTTTAAAGGCTGTGGGTAATATGAACCAAACTTTACTTACCTAGCCATCTGCAGGTGCTTTTTCCTGAGGATGATCAAGGTGACCAGCAGCAGTCCAATGAGCAGAGTGCTAAGAATGGCCAGCACTGAGATGACTACCACATTGGGATTCATCTCTGTAACTAAACAGATCAGCCGCACATTTTAGGTATAGCTTCCATGACACAGAAACTAACAGAACCATTCATTGTTTTCCATCTGATTTTAAGAGTAATGGCTTTATGGCAACAACAACAATAGCAATAGCGATATTTCTCCAAGCTGACAATGACCTCTTTCTGGTCAACTACAAGTTACTAGATTGATAAAAAGTATTTAAGGCCTATATTCTGGATGTTCTTATAAAGGGAAATGATAGACTGAATAATTCCCGTGATATAGTTTAGATTAATTTGAAAACAACAACAACAAAAAATCTACAAGTCATTATCATGTATTCTCATTCTTTTACATTTTGAGAAGCTTTCAAGTTCTTATTTTATGCCCATGACTTTAAAGTCAGAAAGCACAACTGTCTATTTCACTCACAACTAATAATGTATATGAAAAAGGCACTAGCAAGCTACCATCTGCTATAGCACTTAACACATTGCTAGAAGCAGGCATTGATAATCTGTAACCATATGTTGAGAGGTTTTCCATCTGTACAATTTAAGAGATTAAACATATTAATAAATTGGAGGGCCCTTAAGAACAGGAGTTTTGTCCCTTTCATGTACTTTATGTGATGATTGGTCTACTATGGCAATTATAACACGTCAACTGTTTTATAAAACTCTTAACAGTGGACCAGAGGAGAAGACCGAAGTGATAACATCCTCTGTACTGTTCATAAAATCATGGAACTGGCTGGCATATACAATCCTTAAGTCCCTGGGTATTGCCACTTCCCATTTGGGACAATCAGGCCCCAGTTCATGGGCAGAATACTTAAGAAGAAAAAAATAGTAGACTCATGGTCAGAAGAGCTTGTTCACGTTCATGCGACTACTAACTGCCATTTAGGGAGGCTATTTTATCTGTCTCTCTGGGCCTCATTTTCCTCACTTGCAAAAAAGTTTAATAATAGCAACTGCTTCACTGGCTTGCTATAGAGATGACAAGAAAGAATGAACATTCTATTATACTTAGAAGAGTGTAAAAAGATGTAGAAATGAGAGACCATTGATACACTTTTTAGATCAACTTTTGTCCTCTTTTCTGCAAAAAAACCCAAACAAATAAAAAAGTGGCTAAACATACGACAAATGTTACAGAGATGAAAACAGATCCAGTAAAGGGTTATGAGATAGGAAGAGTGGCTTTAGTACAAGAAGGTTCATAGAAGCTCTCAGATTATAGGATCAGACTCTAACTTGCAGGGGAATAAAACATATAACTCAGAAAAAGAATAAGAAAACAGCATTATTCCAGACTATCCATTATTTTAAAATGTCCCCACTCATAGTTTCTGCTTGATTATATACTTTCCTTCTTTGATTCAGTAATTGGGGCTTGCCATCACTTGGTAACTAAGGGCAAAGGCTGAAATTCATGGACCAGAGTTAATTAGGGTACTGTGGCTACTAATGAAGAAGGTGAAGAAATTAATAACAAGTAGTATTTAGACAGCATGTGCCAGGGTTTTATGTCCTTTATTTCTACACCTCAAAACAACTCAGTAAGGTACAAATTATAATTCTAGTTTTACAGATGAAAAAACAGGTTCAGAGATAATAAATATCCGCCCCTAACTCACATAGGGATTGAAATTAAGCACTTCCTGACCTCAAAGCTTGGAATTTTTCAACAGAACAAATATGGGTTCCATTAAGAGGGCAGATTATATCTATTTTCAAAGAAAATATAAGAACAATTTAAAAAGATAAAACTTTCAAAACCACCAGATTTCACTAATGCATGTAGTTACCCATTGTTGAGACGGCTATGAATGTGGGGACACTGGGGCTGTTGTGGCTAAAGCTGGTGACACTACAGTTGTAGGCAGTGGCAGGAAGGAGGCTGGAGATGGTCACAACATGAGAAGAAACAGAAATCGGTTCCTGGAGATGCAAACAATAAAATAAATGTCATGTAATCCTCTATTTTGATTTTTAAGGCTTTCATAGTTGAGTTGGTAATGTAGAGACAGAGCAAAAAATTTAAAAGACAAAAAAGGATAACAGTGAAAAATAAGTTATAAACAATGTTACAGTGAATGTAATTTCGCAATTATGGGGATGTAAGTGCATGCCCGCAAACATAATATTGTGCTTGTGTGTATTCATATTCCTAGCAGGTAAATTGCTGGGCCAAAAGTTGTATATTTTTAATTTTGAAAGCTATTGACAAAGTGTCCTTCATAGGCATTTTCAAGTCATCCATTCATTATCCATGTTTGACAGTACCTGTTTCCCTGTGCTACTTCTAACATTGCATAGCGGCAAATTCTTTGAGCTTTTCCAATACTATTAGTGGAAATTGCATCTCATTGTAATTTCATTTTGCATTTCATTCACCATGAGTAAGATTGATCACCCTTTCATATGTTTAAGAGATTTTTGTGTTTATTTTATATAAAATATTTGTTTTGAGTTCTTGGTTTTTATCTTCTTTTATTTGTAGCAGTTCTTCGTATATTGAGGACACTTTCATTTGTGTCTGCATTCTCAGCTTTTAAATAGTATCCACCAAAGGCACAAAGACTGCATTATCGAAAACATTTAGTATTAACCTAGTATATGTAGAACAAATTGTTAATTTGGTGAGCCAATAGTCAGACTAATGACAAGTACTACTGTACAATATAAGAAGATGAGCCAGCAAAACACTCTTTTTCAAAACAAGGATCTGAAGCACCACTGCCTAAAGACATGAAAACCATCAGCACTTACTTGCCACTCCCATCTCCCCTTACACTATAAAAGAATGCTTCTAAGGAAAGACTTTTGCTAACAAGACTCAGTAGCTGCCATTGCTTTCTTTGCTGTTGCAGAGCAAAACATCTACTACTGGCAGAGCAGTTATTTTCAAAAAGGATTCTTAGCATTGGAAAAGGATTCAGCTGTTCGGCACAGATCAAAAAGAGATAAGTTAGTAGAAGGGAGTATCAAAAGGGGAAAGGAATAAAGCAAATTATCTTAACATTCAGTATGAAAAGATTTGTACTCCCAGAAATCCTTTAATCTTCTCAATCTCAGGAACTTCATTATTTAAAAAGCATCAGTTATTCATGTTTTATGGTACTCATCTCTATACTGTATGTTATAATAGCCCTCACAAATGTGCCCGTTTCCTTCTGTGCCTGACTGCAAAATACTTGTTTTCTTGGGACTTTGTTACCCTGAGAGCTGCTGGTTCCTCTCTTTCTGTCCATTTGTTGTGACCTGGAGGACAGTATTCATCATATCTGCTATATGTGATTCTAAGGCCCTAACGATCACCTCTCTCAGCCTTCATTTTCCCAAATGAAATTGTCCTCCTTACTAACTAGATAGACATGCTTCTTTTCAGGTCTCTTAGTAATATGAACCTCTCCTGTGGCACTTGGTTAACTTTAATTATTTTTAGACTGCTGCAATATCCATAACTGTATGAAAAATATTTTTGAAGACAAATATTCATTCTATCACTTGTGTTCCATACAGCGACTTTCACAAAACTGGCAATCAGATCATATTAAATTATGTTTTACGTGGCAGTGTCTTTATCCCCTCAAGGAACTGAATGTCCAATAGGAAAAATTAACCACTTTAATTCTTCAGTATGAACCAGAGTGGCTAAGGTTTAAGGGCAAAAGAAAAATACAAAGATGAAAATAAACTTGGCAACTTAGCAAGTTGGTTCTCTTAATATATTTTGGGCTTTTTCTAAGCCTATTGTTAATTTCTATCACTGAAACACCAAAGCATAAATGAACAGTTTTCCTTTTCTATAGTTCAAAGACATTAAAGATTTTTATTTAGCTTAGATAATTAGACTTAATCAAAATTAACTAAGAAAAAGAAAATCAACATGTACAGTACCTGGAGCTTTGTTTCCTGACTAGAGCCCATTTGTTGACAGAAGACTTCAAAGAAATCAGCTACTCCCTCTTCCACCCACAGCAAAGTCACTGAAGTCTGGGTTTTATTCACTGCAAAGAGTGATTTTGGAGGAGCCGGTTCTGAGCAAAGAAAAAGTTTAAAAAATTTAATTCAATTTAACACATTCTTTCTTCTTTTATTGATCATCAGGATAACATAGCTAAAAAAAATTTTCAAAATTAGGTAATGAAGACTGCCACAGAGGTTTTCTATTTCTTTTGAAATATGTCCTTTCACAAAGACCATCATCTAACTGCCTTTTTTTCCTCTTCTATTTGATACTTCTCTTTTTTGGAACACTTCTGTTTTCTACTTCAGGTTTATTATAGACATAATCTATTAATAGTTGTTATGCATCAACACTGGAGTTAGCATTGCCTGATAATCCAGAACTTTATGGGTGAGAAACAAAAATCTGTACTTAAAAGGCTGAGAAAAATAAAAAAGTGACGTGTGTGCTCCCTACTAAGAGAGAGATTCAACCTGGTGCTTAGCCAACAACCTGTCTTCCTTTCTCTGGAGACTATTTAAAAAAATTTAGTTAGGAATGACTTACTGAAAATATAGTCAGAATTAAAAGGGGTGAACCTAAATAGATAGTATTAGATAGTAATAGATAGTATTTTCTTGTTAAAAGAAAAAGATGTATGAAACAAAAACAGACTCACAACTACAGAGAACAGACTGATGGTTGTCAGAGGGGAGGGGGTTGGGAGACTGGATGAAAAATGTGAAGGGGTTGAGAAGCACAGATTGGTAGTTACAAAATAGTAATGGGGATGTAAAGTACAGTATAGAAAATACAGTCAATAATATCATAATTACTAGGTATGGTGTCAGGTGGGTACTGAAAATATCGGGGGAGCACTTGGTAAAGTATATGATTGTCTAACCACGGTGCTGTACATCTAAAACTAATACAAAATAATATTGAATATAAACTGTAACTAAACAAATTTTTAAAACAAATAAAGATTGATGGAAAGGGGCTGGATGTTTAATAAAATGTTACAGAACTGATTTCTTTGTCTTATTCTTTTCGACATTTTATCTTGATCAATAAATTAATTAATTAGTCACGTCAGCCATGATGTCCAGGTCCTTTTTAGTTAATTGAATCACTGAACTTGTTGGCTTGAGACCAAACCCCGGCCTGTTCCCCAGTTCTCGGAAGTGATCTGCTGTCTTGTTCCTCATTCCTGAATCTCAGCTGATCCCCTCCCTGGGCTGCTGTCCTTGGGGTGTTGCCTTTCTTTTGATGACCCCTGGTATATAAAGTGCTATCCCTGAACCCAAGCTCTTAAGCCGGGGTGCCTGTTACCTGCTGTCAGACCTGCTTTACATTGGACATATCATATCCTGCTGTTGGGTCCACATGACAGCATACTCTGCCCATCTGCGTGTCCCTGTCAGACATTTACTCCCATTGTTTACTTGTTACTTGGATTTCTTTTTATTATCTGCCCCACTTTCTCAAGTAATCTCAAGTTCCTGGCTTTTAGATGTACTTGAAAAAGCCCTGGAGGCCATTTAACTCCTTTGACAGGCATATGTCTTTGTGTGGGAAGGGTTAGGTCTTCTTTGTAGAATGTCATCATCATGGTCTTGTCCAGGACCAAGAAATATGTCAGGATCCTTTTTGACATGATTTATTGCAAGTAACCTAAATTTGTGTTCAACTAAAATGAAGCTTTTGATCTATCCAGAGGCACCTTGACAAGGTTAGGCAGAAGAGCTGAAGGAGGAAAGAGAAGAGCTAGTCTTGGGCAAGAATAATTCACAATAGATGTCATGACCCTTTTCTCATTTGCAGTGAACTGTCTACTTCTCTAGACATTGTATTGCCTCTTTTCCCTTCTGATGAAGACTGTTGATAAAACTCAGAGGCCACCTTCCACATTCCACATCCTTCATAACTGTCACTGTTAATAGGATTATGAGTCAGAGAATAAGTCCTCTGGTGATTCTGATTTGGGTAGAATTTGGATCTTTGGAAGCAAGTATGAGGTTGTCTGGGGCACAAATGAAAGACTGGTTAGGCTGAGCCTGGGTTACTTCTTTTTAAAAAATATATACCACTGAAGAGTGCATCTCTTGGACAATGATTATAATCCCTGGGACATCTATATATTTTTTTCTGATGGGTAGATAAAATCAGTTTAGCTATCTGATATATAGAACATTGCCCAAATTTGAATGTCTAGAGCTGACTTTTTTATACATGTATTTCTATTCTATCCCCTGTGCTTACTCAAATATCTCACTATTACCTCAAACTCTGGACAAAATGGAACCTGGAGTCCTTGTCTTCCCACAAATCAATTCTAATTTCCAACTCCTCCTGATTCTCTCAAGAGTATCATCATTCTTTCAACCATCTAAGCTGACAGTTTTGAGGCTCTCCTCCTGCTTCTCAGGTCTGGATGGCATATCTTTTAATAATTCTTGTTATCTCTTCCTTTTGTCTATTCTTTTCACTATGTTGTAGGCTTTGTCATCACACTTATCAATCATTACAGTAGTCCCTTACTCCTTTTCCCTGCTTCTAATTGGCGTCTTCATTTGTCAATGTTGGCTCAAGTCACTTTAAAACACCCCTTTGCTCATGTTAGATCCTATCTGCACCAGGATTGCAGTGATTTTCAACCTTTTTCATCTCATGGTACATGTAGACTAATTACTAAAATTTTTCAGCACACCCAAAAATATATATATTTTTGCCAACCTGACAAATTTTGATTGATAATTTTGATTTATTCACGCTGGACAGCTATTGTGTTGGCAATTGTCATTTTTTTTATTGATAATCTAAGGGAAAAGAGGTCAGTGACCGTGACTAAAGAGTCATGTATTGTATATTTTAAAAATTCTTGTGGCATACTGGTTGAAAATCATTGATCTATTGTGACCAATGTCTGCTGTGTCAAATCCAAATAAGCCAAGTTTTATAAAGATCCTGCTTGCATTGGCCACATGCTACCTCTCTGGCTTAACCACCACCTGTCTTTCACAGATATGCTGCTCCCAGTGAAGCCAGTTTTCTCACTGAGCATCATACAGGCAGTACCCTGTCTTAATTCATGTATTTCCCCTCATTGTATTCTTTGGGCACAATAAGGTCTTAACTCCTCCTTGAAGCTTTACCACATGACACTCTCTTGATGATCCATCCCACCTCTGATCTTCTATTGCTATTAATTATTTCCTATCTGACCTAAATGAGTAAAGTTCTGATTCTTCTATGCCTTACTGGATTGCTTAAGAACATGAGCCATGTGTTATAAATACATTATATTGTCTTCACCTTGAACTAGCCACCTGCAGAAACTCAATATATATTCTCTGTCACAGATTTAAAACATAGGTCAAGATTCATTACCCAGGGGTATTAGAATTCAAGCATCAGTCAAGACCAGACACACTGGGGTTGAATTTTGATATTCTTTGCCTTTTTATAGTGATCATGTTTATAAAAATCATCAGCTTTCAGTGGCAGAGTTAGGAAATATGCCTTGGATATTGGAGTAAGGTTTTATTTTGATCTGGCTGAGAATGTGGATCTAAGAAATAGCTAAACATTGTTTATTATAAATATTATTAATTTCATATGATAAGGAATACAATTACACACAAGAACCTTTTTATTGGTCTCTGCCTTCCAAAACTGTATTTCCGCAAAATTCGTATGTTGAAGCCCTAACCCCCAGCACTTCAAAATGTGATCGTAATTAGAAGTAGGGCCTTTCCAGATGTGACTAAGTTAAAATGAGGCTATTAGGGTGGGCTCTAATCCAATATGACTGGTGTCCTTAGAGGAAATATGGGCATAGAGACACCAAATATGAATGGTTACAGAAACTACCATGTGAGGACACAACTAGAAAGAGGTCATTTGCAAGCCAAACAGAGAAGCCTCAGGAAAACCAAAACTTGCCAACACATTGGTCATAGATTTCTAGCTTCCAGAACCATGAGAAAATAAATTTCTATTGGTTAGGCCACCCAATCTGTCATATTTTATTATGGCAGCTCTAGCAAACAAAGTAATACAGTCTTTTATTGTTCAAAATATCAAATATAATCTAGCTCATAAAGGAGAGGGATAGGAGTACCTTGTTCCTAGTATAAAGAGTGGATGGACTTTAAGATAATGTATATAAAAACACTTTATATAATATAAAGAATCATGTAGCTATTAGTTATAGAACATCTTTTGATTATCACTTTCCATCTCTTTATATCACATTTTAAATCTTAACTTGTTCAAAATTGCCCTGCTCCATAACATCAGATTTCTTTTGGTTAAAATAATTTCAGAGTCTATGATACTTGATGTGAGAAACCTATGGATACAGGTAAAATAGGTAGATTATTGTTACAAAACAGGGTGTAGATATAGGGTTGTTTGCTTTTAAGTACACTCGAAAAGCTTTCTCGCATTGCTGGTGTTACAATCAACTATCTGGCCCTCTCCCCTTCCTTCTCTTCTCTCCTCTTCAGTGCCTCTGCTATATGAGTTGGCAGTTCAACCTAATTTTATAAGGAAATCTAGTACCATTCACAGAGCATGGGGCAGACTGGAAAGCTGAAAAGCTATCTTTACCATTTAATTTAGATTGGATTAGGAGAGGCTCAAACTGTTGCTCAGGCTCTCTGGGGAGTGAAGGTGACCTTGGATGAAATACAAGCTAGTGTCTGATTCTCATTCTCTGCTCTGGCGGCAAATCTCTTATTTCCTAAGGAATTCCAAAGGGAGCCAGGTGTAATATTTAGCCTTGGAGCAGAGCAGAAAGTATTTATTGCTTAAAATCCGTCTTTCTCTGACAGCTATTACCTTGTTTCTTATTTTAATGTGACCCATTAGTTTAGCTGCTGGTAGAATGATGTTAATGAGGTCAGGATTATATCCATGAGGGCCAACTAGATTCTTTCTGCTTGCATTTCATACCTCTAAACTCGGTGAGTCATTTTACAAATGTGTGGCATTGGCGATAGGGGAATTCAATAGAAAAGCATTGTAAAAATGATCGACCGTGGCAAAATCTATTTTTAATCCTCAGCCTCACTGACAGCAATTCGC